GCCCGGCATTGCGACCACCTCGGAGTATTATCGCAAGAGTTCGTGGCTACTTGACCTGCGGACGTACGCCTCCTGCTCTTAGGGCGCCTTTTGGAAGCCAGAGACGAGCATGTCAATGTAGTTTCACCAATGTGCGACGTTACGAACCTGTTCCTAGCAAGGATTAGTTCGGCCACGAGAAAATAATGCTGCAAATGGCTTCGGACACGTGGGCCCCTTGGAACGAGCCGAAAGCCGTAATCACTTGCCTATTGCATCTTTTCGTACTCCTGTGTCCCGTTGTAAATTTAATTTGATGGATATGGAATCAAAATTAGGTTTTAGTATGGTGCTACATGCAACGAGACTGATATACAAAAATGAGAAATCAAGCGATGTGGATAAATCTTATTGAGTATGGAATACGACTCGTTTCTTAAAATTCTCAATGGCAGCCCATCACAATACTTATTTTGATTTATGAACTTATCTATGCATTGTGAGGTTCACTTTTGCACAATGAGTACATTTAACATGAAGGGTAAATAGAGTAAAGTCCTTTCTTTTATGAGTATTATAATACATATTAAGAGTGCGTTTGTTTTACGGAAAAACGTAATGTTTTTTGGACAATGTTTTTCAGGAAATCATTTTCTAGGAAAATGGTTAGTTTTTCTTTGTTTGGTGATACGTGATCGAAAATTTTTTTCTGGTGTTTGGATCTTATTTGGAAAATAATTTCAAAATGTGTTTGTTTCGCCAATTGTTGCCGAGACCAGCGACCGACGGAGGGAGGAAAAAGAAAAGGGAAAAAGAAAAAAAAAAGAAAGGAAAAAAAAGAAAGACAAGAAAAAAGAAAAATAAAATAGTAACAAATTCAAGATAAACAATTCTGGAAAGTGTTTTCACCTTCTTAGATTAGGAAATTCAATTTCCTAATTTTATACATAAATATTTTCCTTGACTGAAAGGTGTGTTCGATTGACTTATCATTTTCAGCGAACCAAACTGGTACAAGTCCGAAAAACGAATTCCCGAAAAATACTTTCCCTCAAACAAACGCACCCTGACATCTCTTAAAAATAGTGTCTAGAGTAATAAGCAGTCAAATTAACTCTACGAAAATGGGAAAATATATTAATGAAAAATTTAAGAGAAGATAATTTGAAATGTGAGAAAATATATTGAAATAAATCTTGAAATTACATCTTTTTAGCAATATCTAGAGTAATTAATAGTGAACTTTACATCTATTTAGCCCTCGATCTCTATGGAATTTGCAAAGAGTGCTCTCGAAGCACTTATAGCCATAATCGATAAAGAAATGTTTTCAGTTTTAGTACAATGACTATCCATAACACGAGAAAGACGGTGCATTGAAAATTCCAAACTTTGATCATTAAGGTGTCCGACAAGTCTCCCTTGAAGCACTCGTTAACACAATCATTCGCTTAATGGTCCTAGACTTTTTTGACAAATTAACTCCGTCCTCTAACAAAACGACGCGTATCAGTGCGCAAGAAAAGGTTATCTACATAATCATTTCTCATCGATTAAAATCGCCCACGGAGCAAAAATAAGGAATGCTTTATATAATGGTAAAAAAAAATATCCAACTCTTTTTATTGCCCGAGATTTTAAAAATAAATAAATAAAGGCACAAACAATCGCATAAGCTGCTGAATCTCTTTTAGAATATACTGTCGAAAAAAAAACCCTTTCCTTTTTCTTTTTTTTTTCCCTGGTCCTAAAAATTTAAAAAGGAAAAAGTATATCTATGCATTCTTTTTGCAGAGACACAAGCTACAAAACGACAAAAAAAAAAGAAAATGGAAAAAAAAGAAAATTAGAGGGAACCCTAGTCTTACGACGCAGTATAAGGCGAAATTCTCGCGGGAGGCAAGAGGATCATTCTTTATTCAGCTCCGGGGGGAATATCCTGATGGAACAAACAGCATAAAATTGAATATTTCTTTAATTCGAAAAAACCGAAAAAATAACAAAAAGTGGGACGTGGACATTTTTTTTTTTTAATTTTTCGCTTTTTCGCCCTCGGAAAAAAAAGAGGAAGAAATTCCCGTCCACACGTGCCGAGGGACGTGGACGGGTCGACGGCCGCGGGGCCCGGGGGGCGCGGTTAGGGTTACGGTCAACGACACGGGGGGACACGTGTCGCCGTCCGATCGGGGCGCGCGGGGGGGAGGAGGAGGAGGAGGCGGGGGTTACGAGGGGGAGGGGGGAAATCATTTCGCAATCCATTGCATCATGATTGACCCCTCGCTGGCGGGGTGTGGCGGGTGAGGGCTGTCACCGTAGCAGCAGCGGAAGCGAAGGGGAGCAGAAGCAGTAACAGTAGGAGGAGGCGCTCTGTAGCAGCTCCTGTCTTTTCATGTGCGTGGGAGGGGGGGGGGGGGGGGGATGAGGGCGAAAGCGACCACTCCTCCTCTCTCCTGTCTTTGTCTGACCGGCATTCAAGGAGGACTGTTCATCCCTTTTTTTGTTTTTTGTGTTTTCTGTCTTTTTCTCTGTTCTTCTTTTTTTTTTTTCAAATATATATAAGTTTTTTTTTTTAATTTCCTGTTTGGTCATGGCAGATCCGACATGATGTATTACCTCATCGATTGTTTCTATAAAGGTGCGTTTGACAGCCATTATATTCCCGAAAATAATTTTCGTTCAGAAATGAGTCTTTTTAATTCCTTGCTCGGGAACAATTTTTAAGTATTTGAAAGTGTTTGGAATAGAAAAAGAACATAAATATGTTTGGTAATTACATAAAATTCTTTTTAATAATAATATTTAGAAATTTTTTAATTTTTTTTCTTTTTATTTTACTGTTTTTTTTCTTCTTCTTCCCCTTCCTTGGCCATGGCCAGGTCGCTGGTGTCGGCGACCAGCCACAGGCCAGGGCCGGCGAGGGTGGCTAGCGACCTGGGCAAGGGTTGCGCTCGGCGGCCTGGGTGAGGCCTCGCTAGATCCGGCAAGGGCGACAACGAGGGTCGCCCATGCCAGATCCTACAAGGGCCACGACTCCCTTGCCGGCCCTAGCCTGTGGTCGGTCGTCAGGACCGGCGGCGGCCGACAACCGGCCATAGGCTAGGAAGAAGAAGAAGAAAAAAAATTTCTTTTCCATTTCTGATTATTGTTCCCTTGTTTCTTGATTTTGTTCCATAACTGATTCTGGGAATAATTTTGTGCCCGGGAACAAAAAATTTACCAACTAATTTCTGTTCCAAAACTGACTCTAGGAACGAAAGAATAGAAATAGTTACTGTTTGGCCGGTTGCCAAACGCGCCCTGAGCGTCCATCGCCTTTTGTGGAATCAAATGAGATTTGGCCACCATTGTGGGGAGGGGGGGGTGGTCCTTTCTTTTTGTTTTTGTTCCGAGAAAAGCCGGTAAAAACAAAGATTTAGCCCCCATGTCGAGTTATTGATCAATGAATAAACATGGGTACTATTTGCATAAGTTTACGGCTCTGGATCCGAAGCATGGGTACCATGTTATGTTGGAAAACGTCGAAAAAGAATTCGATATTCATTTTCTTCCTCTGTTTTTCAGTGTCCCTTTTTCATGGCCGTGGGCGTGCTAAGTTACTTGCGGCACGCTTGATAATTGCGAGGAAAAGTTGGAGCGTTTTATCGACTTCTAAAGGAGGGATTTCGTGTGACGATTTCTTTGGTGACGGATATATTCTTTTGGTGGTTTTTCCACGAGATGGAGTTTGCGTCCTACGAGCGAGGGGGGGGGGGGGGGGTCTCTGATATTCCCCTCAGAAGTTCTTGCTTTTTATCTTGTATCCGAAAAGCCCTCGATTGAATCATTCATTCATTCATTATTACTCACTTTTTTGAACGCATTGACGTGACCCCTCCCTCCCTCCCTCTCTCTCTCTCTCTCTCTTATGCGTGACAATGTGTTGAAACGAGAACAGTTGATTCATGGATCGTAGCGGGGGGGTCCGCAGGAAGGTCCAAAGATGAAATGAAAAGAGAGAACGAAATTTGAAAACGATCTCACATGTTAAGCGGGCATCGGACAATCTGGACCATCTTTTGAGCTTACACGGGGCAAGGCGGTTTTCGCGAGCGACGCAGCACCGATACAACCGCGTCTCTGTTGGATACCGACATATCGAGTCTTTTATACCGTCTGTGGGAGTTTTTTCTTTCCTTTTTTTTCTTTTTTCCGCCGGCGATGGACCCCCCAAAACAGAGATTAGTAAGTTGGAGTTTGCGCAACTGATGCATGGTCGCCATGTCTGCCATGCCGAGGCTAGATACACTAGAAGTGGTCCTGCCTAATGCTGACATGAACACCCAAATTGGCTGTCCATCGAGTTGGCTAGCTAGCCCATGGGTTGAGTGGGCCCTATTTTTCGTCTTCTCGAAACCAAAATCTGGAGTACAGATAAACTATTCGGGATTGACTTGGTCCATTCCATATTGAACGGTCACGGTCGATCACGTTCCTGATTCTCTTGGACTTTATGGCTATGAATGAAGTCAAAGACGAGTTACCCATGTCAAAACCATGTGATTTATGGGATTTTTAGTTAGGTCGAGAGTAGGAAAAGGACCCTTTCAATTACATGTTCCAAAATTAAAGCCTCTCGCGGTCACAATAACCTAATAAGCAAGTTCAAACATTTTCGTCGCGCCCGCGTGAAAGAAACTCGGACCGAATCAGGCGACGCCGACAGACGGACCTCCAAACTCGTATGAAATGTTCGCAGACACTATCGCGATCGTACTACAATCGTTCGGGGGGAACCGAAAGGCAATTACTTCCATCCCACAAAATTAAACCCCTAAATCGATATGGGCCAAAACTAATTGATCTTAATCAGAAGCGCGGCTTATGAACATGTCTTGATGTAGGGCGGTTGTAATGTGGCAAGTGAGTAATCCCAATAGGCTTGTTCGGCTTTCGGATATGGATTTTAATGGGCCTTTTCTTTGGGCCCAGGCCCATATAACTGGTACGAAATGATTAAGGGTAAAAAGAGAAGGAAAAACCAGCTCGTCTTATCCGCTTCTCCGATTGTGCTTCTTGGCATCGAGCTCGACGGAGGGAAAATGGCTACGGCCGCTCCTGCTCCTTGCTTCTTCAAGTTGTCTTCCTCTCATCGCTCTGCTCTCCCTGCCCGTCGGTTCGCATCGCGCGATGCGGCGGCGCTCAGGACGCGGGGCCGCGTCTCGTGCGGCAGCGGCGGCAGCCTCTCTTCGGCCACTCCGATCAGCTACGAGGTGAGCCTTGAGTTTCTCGATTTTTTGCGGACGGGAATCCGCGGAACGGAAGCTGATCGGCTTCGTGGAATTCGTGGTAGTTTGATGTTTCATGCTGAAGCGGATCGAGCCGCGGTGTTGGTCTTAGCAGAAATTTGATGTTGTCGTGTGTTTCTGGTTTCCTGATTCGTCGAAAAGGAAGGGGACAAGGAAATGCTTCTATTATCGTTGCAGATTTTCTCGGAAACTCACGGAGTCTATGTATGATGTTGGAGGAAATGTAGCCTTGTGTTAAAGATTAGATTTTGCATATGTCTAGAACTCGCGACGGTGTCGCATCGGTACATCGATGCCGAAGAACGAATGTAGCACAAGGGACTATAGGATTTCCTCTCGACCCCGAGCATCAAAATGTGAAATTTCGCAGTTGATGTAGTTTTTATCTTAAGGGACATATGATGTAAAGTCTCTGTTTTGGTGAATTTGCTTAGGATGATCTTCCCCTGATGAATCCTGCTTGTAACCATAGAGATGGGAATGAGCTTTTACACTGTCACTGAACTCTCCAAATTCCACTCGACCTGTGCCATCGGAGTGTTATTATGTCTGTAATCGCATGATAATCAGAGGCATTTCCTGAAAAACTGACCGGTGAAGCGAATGCAGTTTTCAGATGGTTCTTCCGATATGGAATTGCGACTCCAGCTCGGCGGCGTCGACATTTCAGGTCCCAGAGATATTCACGTGGACGCAAACGACACCTCCTTGACGATCAAACTTAAGCATTCTGGTTCCCTCACGACGCTAATGGAAACAGATTCTCTCTTTGATAGGATAAAGTCGGCTGAAACGATATGGTTGGTTGTCCTCTGTGTGTATGTACTTGATGATAATAGCCTAGATTTTCCGGGCGCTCATGTGAGGACTCTTGTTTTGGGCAGGTATTTAGATGACGATCAGCTTGTTATTAATATGAAGAAGCAGGATCCTGAATTGAAATGGCCTGACATTGTGGAGTCTTGGGAGTCGCTGACTGCAGGGTCGATGCAACTACTTAGAGGAACATCCATTTATATTGTTGGGGACTCGACGGAGATCAACCAGAAAGTGGCAAAAGAACTTGCAGTTGGTCTTGGGTAATATTACATTGTTTCATCCTTTCTTGGGTTCTGGAAAAGTATCTGCCAAATTTCCACCTTTCTGATTTCACCATTACAATCAAACCTCGACCCAAAAGAAAGAAAGAAATCCCACAAGATCCCAATGAGACTGAAATGAGAAAGATTAGAACAAGAGTCACGTGTTAAGAGCTTTGGAATCGATTATTCAGTTATGAGCTTTAGGATCGATCACTTCTAGTGCCTTTTCAATGTCATAATATTTTGTTTGTTTTTAGACTGATTTGCTGCTTGCTAAAGCTCAAATATATGATCTGCAGGTACACGCCTCTTGAGACAAAGGAGTTGCTCGAAACATTTGCTAAGCAAACAATCGATTCATGTGAGTAGACCTCTGCTGTAAACAGAGGCTAATAAAATGCCTTCAATCCTGGGCCGTAAATCTGGTCCTGGACCACACATTTTGGTTAGAGGGCACATCTATAGTCCCATGCTAAAGAATATCAAACAGTATCTCGTGATAGTCATTCTATTGGTATGTGCTGATATGTGCAGTAACTTAATAGCTGTCATTACCAACGTAGGAAATTTCCAGGCAGATAGAGTAATGGGCACAGGACTACTGAAAAACCCATAGTTAAAATTTGTAGATTCATCTCATTACTACAGGTCATTGCAAAGAAAGTACCATGGTTGCTAAAACCATACACATCAGCAACATATGAGCAATTTACTTATTAACATAATCTGGTGATGTTTTAAAGCAGCAATTGATAGTGTTGAGTTCAGCATACTGCCAATCCACGCTGAAGATGGCATTCGGAATGTTATTTGTATCTCTGTACATATTCTGAAATAAAATTAGAAGAAACTACAAAGGAAAATGGATTAGAAAATTCTCATATTTGAAAAAAACATGTATAAGTAGATATAGCAACTTTCGCTTTGGCAATCTTGAAATGACCTGCAGTGCCCATCTTGCAGTGCATTAATGAGTCTAATCATCTCCAGGGGCGCTTGCTGAAGGATATGATGCCATTGCTGAAGCAGAGGGTGTCTTATTAGAAAGCCTCAGTAGGTATACGCATTATGTGATGCAGTTGTTTGAAACTCTTGCCTTCACAAATGACTCATTCTTTTCTCTTTTCTCTCTTTGATTTGTTTTGCAAAGTCACGTCCGGGCTGTTGTCGCAACTTTAGGAGGGCAGCAGGGTGCTGCTCGAAGAGCTGATAAATGGCAGCACCTTTACGCAGGATTTACTGTATGGTTGTCTACAACTGAAGCAACAGGTAGTCTACTGATGCGTGCCTCCCCCATGCATTTTGCCATTGAATCAGTTTTCCTGATGATCTTTGAGTGGTAGAGACAGAATGATAATCAAATTTAGTGGCTTGTAAGGACCTTCGATGCTGCTGAAATTACTTGGTTCGCCAACTGATATAATATCTATCCTTGCTGAAGTTCAAAGTGGAAAAGGAGGTTGTTATTGTGCATTTTCCAAATGGTTCAAATGATGTCATGCAAAATCATTTCAATTCTGCTGGAAGTTTGACTGAACCTGAAACAGGGTTGGAGGCTAAATGATGGCCACCTTTCCATTTAGTTGCAGTATTACGGACCCTTGTGATGATTTCATCTGAAGTAAGTTGTAATTTTTTTTGCAGACGAAGACTCGGCTCAGAAAGAGGCCAGAAGACACATTGAAGATGGGAGTCTAGGTTATGCAAATGCAGATGTTGTTGTCAAGGTCCAAGGTTGGGATGCCGATTACTCCAAAACCGTGGCTCAAGCATCTCTGAGTGCACTCAAACGATTAGTTTTATCAGATAGGAAGCTCCCAGGTAAAAGTTCGTCAAACTACACATGACCTGTGTATTGAAAATGCTATGAAATAGGGGAACCTATCGTAATGCCAGAGGAAGCTGATGCTGAAACAGACCTTGGAGGGTTGAGCCACAAAGATCAGATTAAAATGCCACCTCAATTCATTTTAACGAAATTATGAAACCAGCGTGTCTATAAGATTCCTAAACAATAATGGCTAGTGCCGCTTTGTACTTGATGCTGTAATGAAAACAACCTTGGAATTTGTTCTCTGTGCAGTAAAAAGCTCTGATTGAACCGTAAATCTCATCGGTTCTGTCTCGTCCTTGCAGATAAGAAGAGCCTGTACATAAGGTTGGGATGCCGTGGAGATTGGCCAAACATCAAGCCCCCAGGGTGGGATCCATCAACTGCTTATGATTCTATAACGTCTCCGGATACGTTGTGAGAAAATTCAAGTTGCCAGCACATAAGAGAATAAGATAGATGGAGACCAAGGGCAAGTAGAAATGTCATCCTCCAATTCTTCTCGATTTTAGTGATATATAAATAACCAATTCATTTTACTGAGGCTTCTTTCTCTCTTTCCCCTCTCTTGTTTTTGTTCTTGCTTTTATCTCTTGTTTGCCGTGATCGTGAGTAGGTCATTGGGTCCATTCCATCTATGCTTACAAACTACGTTATGAGTGAATATATATAGGTACTTTGTCTAGTCAATGGGTCCATGCCAGTCACCATCTCCAACTCCTGCAATGGTTGTTCAGCCAAATCACCAGGACCATGTAGAACTGGCAATGGAATTTTTCGACTGACCACCTTCCACGCTTCAAAGCACTGGTCAAATGCAAGCAGCAGTATTGGGGGATGGCAAATGGCTGTACCTCCAAAGGCACACTTTGCAGGTCTTTGCAAGTCATGGTCAATGTCGTCGAGGAAAAGCGATACAGCCTGTGGGTTGAGGTACATGGTGCAGCCGATGACTACTGTCTACAATGAAAAACTACTATGTAAACATACCAGCATTAAGCACGAGAATAGAGTACAAAATGTACCATATAAATACACGGACCGTAAAGGTAAAGACGCCATGCTAAACCAAAAGAGAGACATTAGACCGCAAGCAACAACACAAATTTCTCCTTTTACTTGGTGGCTAGCAAGTAGCAACTACTTCCGCAGGTCGCGAAAGTAGGCAGCAGGGTCCCTGGCGAACTCGTCCCGGAAGATGCGCTTGCCCCTCCTGGGAGCTTTTATGGTCTTCCTTCCACTGGACTTGAACGAGTCACCCATCAGACTGGCCACGCCAGCACGCACAGCTCAGATCGCCAAACCGGCGATCGCTTCCTCGGCCATGGCAGTGCCACTTGACTCCTTGGTCTCACCCTTTTCCTCTCTTATCTTTGCTCTTGCTCCCGCCCACATTGATTCTGATCAATATCAATATGCCTACGGATATGATAAGCTATGAGGTACTCTCTAGTGTCAAAAGTGTAGTGCTCTACGGCTTGATGCTTACGGTGAGAGGTTTTTGGGTTAATTATAGCGGCTTTGGTGGCTTTGGGGGTTTCGCCTTGGAGGACTTCTTTACTTATGAGTCGAGGCTCCCCTCTCCGGAAGACGAAGACGGAGACCTTGCGTCGACTTAACTAAATTATTAACTAGTGGAAAGAGATTTTTGGTACAATACAAAGAAATTGTAGCTTCACGACGTTGACGTTGCGCTTAGAGCAACATGGCATCGCCGCCCCGACCACAGACAGCCTCACTTGCAAACCCTCACGATGCTGACTCCCTCTACCAAGTTCAATTCCCCACCTTTTAGGGGGCTGGGGTGGAGGCCGCGTGAGTAAGGAAGCAGAGTTTCGAAATGTGAGCACAGCACATAACACACACAATGGCTTATAAAATAAAAATAGAAATAGGATAGAACCAGACCCAAGAAATAAACTCCCTCTACCAAATCCAAACACGTGGACCACATGACCCGGTTCAAGAGCAGCTCAATTCTTTTTTTTGGTCATAATGGGCAGCTCAAATTCGATAGAGAGAAAAATTATCAAAAAAGTCCTTAACTTATTGTACGGGAAAATTGTCAAAAAAGTCATAAACCTATTGCACTTTTGCCAATTCGGTCCTAAACCTTTTAAGTTTGCCAATTCAGTCCTAAACCTTTTCACTTCTTGCCAATTCAGTCTTAAACATTTTCACTTATTACCGATTGAGTCCATTTGACCGGCCGGCGCTGACGCGGCCACCGGCCATCTGACCAACACTGACGTGGCTACTGGCCGTCTGACCAACACTGACGTGGCCACCAGCCGTCCGACCAACGCTAACGTGGCAATTTTTAAATATTTTTTTCGAATTTTTTAATTTTTTTCTGCTTTTTCCCTCTAGCCGGCGAGGTCGACCTCGCCAGCCTCTAGCGAAGCTTGCTCCTGCCGGCCTTGCAACGGCGGGCGAGGCTCGCCCTCGCTAGTGGCCGGAGAGGGCAAGCTTCGCCAAAGGCCAGCGAGGTCGACCTCGCCGACCCGCGTCTCTGACCGGTCGCTGGACCGGCCAGAGAGAAAATGCAGAAAAAAAAAGAAAAAAAATAAACAATTCGAAAAAAAATATTTAAAAATTGCCATATCAGAGTTGGTCGGACGGCCAGCGACCACATCAGTGTTGTCCGGACGGCCGGCGGCCACGTCAACGCCGGCCGACCAAATGGACTCAATTGGCAAGAAGTGAAAAGGTTTAGGACTGAATTGACAAATTAAAAGGTTTAAGATTGAATTGGCAAAAGTACAATAAGTTTAGGACTTTTTTGATAATTTTCCCCATATTGTACATATACCAATTCAATCCTAATATTTTAATTTGGTCAATTAAGTCATAAGCCTTTTGACACTACCAATTTTAATTCAAAATTGCTAACGTGGACACCGGTTGGAACCGATATGAACAATTTTTGCAATTTTCAATTTTTTTATTTTTATTTTCTTTTCTTTTTCCTTTTCCTTCTTCCTCCGTCGGTCGCCAAGCCTCAAGGATGGCTGGTGATTGGCCACAAGCGAGGGCCAACCTCGCCATATCCCAATGAGCTAACCTCACCAAGCCGCCGGGTCTCAAGTGAGGCTCACCCTTGCCAGATTCAGTGAGGCTCGACCGTCGCCAGCCACCGTTGAGGCCTAATGACTAGCAGAGGAAGAACGGAAAAAAAGAAAAAGAAATATAAAAAAATATGTAATTTCAAAAAAATTTGCAAACATTATCAATATCAGCACCGATCGTGATACATAAAACAGCCGGCGTTTACATCAGCCATTTCCAGCCAAAATTGGCAATTGTCAAATTACTTTGGACTAAATTAACTAAATTAAAATGTTTAAAATTGAATTAGCATCCGTACAATACGTTTATGACTTTTTTGATGATTGATTTTGAGATGCTCCGTAACAACAGAAAAAACAGAAAAAAATGTTTGTCAAGCATTTCTCCTGCTCGAGAAATTTCTCTCCAAAGCTTTAAGAGTGTGCATTCCGACCTTGGAGTCAACTTGCCAGCAACATTATACAATCACGGCCAACAAACATGATGACCTCCACCACCATGAGTAGTTTTTTGCTTTTCTTTTTCCCTTCTGTAAACTTTTTTTAGGTTCTCTCAATTTGATCATCAGAACCATCACAAGACATTCTTCAGAATTAGCAAATCAAATGCAAAGCACCAACAAGTGCCCGGCATTGCCGAAGATTAGGAAATATCGATGAACTCAAAGTGGAATCGAATAAAATCCCTCATTGAAATCTTCACTGAATGCATGACACGAGGAAATTCTCTGACTGTTGAGTGTTGCTGTAAGCAATCAATCCAAAAATTGGAAAATTTCTTGAAAACTAATCGAACGGAAAAGTGCAGTTACAGTGATTCAGAGAGGAGACGACGGAGAAAAGAAAAGGTAGACGGTTGACGATTGACTGAATTTACAGATGAAGGGCATTTTGGTCAGTAAACAAGAATAGGGGTGTCTTTAGCAACGAAAAAGGGAGGTGAACGAAATTAGCCCCATTTTTACAAAAATTAAGCGATACTTCTCATTACTTATTGAATATGATCCATTACCAACCTAATGCAAGATTGGAAAGTCGTCACTTTATAGGGTAGAAATTTTTTATTGCATGGAGAAATAATTGTAATTATGGACTTGGAGAACAATGTTGAAAGTTACCTTCTTACAAAATGTCATTGACCCCACGGAGAAAATATCAGGTAAATAATATGCCGATTGTTTCTTTTCCAACATGAAAAATCACTAACAGCAGTGGAGTTCTTTACTAGGCTGAGCAGCAACCAGCAAGAATTCCATAGAATTACGAATATATACATAAGGATCCAAAAAGAGATACCTTCAAACAACCCGGAAAAAGAAGCCAAGATCTAAATGCAGTGGCAATCCCCACGACACTAAGGGCAACAGCATTGCATAATCAAATAAGAAGATTCAAACCTCTTGCTCCAGCTTAGGCACCTTTGAGTGACTAGATCCAAGAGTCGGCTGCAAAATGCAGTAACAAATGTTAAGCGCTTTCACAAGAATATCAGAGAATATATTGACGGCAGGATAAACTATCCCTCCATCTTAAATCTGGATATATCGTCACAAAGACCCTATGTCTGTTCTTTTGAGAGGAATAGCCAGCATCGATGGTGCAAAAAGAAAATTTTCAGTTTGCATATCGTTCTGCCCATCTTGATTTTCACAATTCTTTGCCAGTCTTATATCGCACACTTTCACCTACTCCAGAAGATAGAAATCGACCTCTTCCAGGAATAAATATTGATACAACAATCCTGTACGCTCAGACGAGCACTAGTCAGGCCATTTACCATCTGATTTCTTACTAATCACTGGAGCAAAACCATTAGAATCCAGAGTAGATAACTAAGTTATAGTCAACATGCAAAAACTTAACTGCCTAGAAATAATGAATTGCAAGTTTGACAACAATATTAATACCTTGCCCTGAAGACTCATTATGCTGGACCTCAACAATTCATCACCGACTATTGATCTCAACCTCTTGATGAAGTCAATTCGAGAGATCCTCTTGGTCTGATAAATATTGAGGAGGAAGATTAGACTTTGACGAAAGAGTTATAGTAAACAGATGATTGTAAGAGTGATTAATCAAAGACGACGCACCCTGAAAAGTTCATAATTAGCCTTGATTGTGTTCATATCCTTGGCAGCAACTTCTTTTGAGATGGCATCAAACAATAAAGGAAACGGCATCCATGGAGATTTGGGAGTCTTTGCAGAGCTTGAACCCAAGGTATCATCTTTTCCCTGAAGTCTCTTCTCGAAGTTCATACGAAGTAGGAGGTAGACATGACAAATAATAAAAGATTACAAAAAGCATTGGTAGCCATTCAGGGAAAAACAACAAAACTTCCAAAAGTAGCACCCTTTCAGATGCAATCAAACTAACATCAAAATTCTGAAATAACAGACACAATAAAGGCCATTTCCATTGAAAATCATAGTAGAAGCCAACATATAAGAAACTACGGCTCTTGAATCCTCCGAGCAATGGAAAAGAAAATCACTTGGCCAACAGTTCGCTCTCAAACCAACCAAGGCTGCATAAAGATCCTCACTAATGAAAGAATCCAGACATGACTAAGCATTCACTCTCTGGCTTTTCAGAAAATTATGAAACCATCAAACAGGCATTGGAGAAGGCACTAAAGTCTCGTGTACAAAGAACTTCCTACATAGCCCATGGTGACTAAAGACTTACTCATACATACTACTCTAAAGGTTACAACAAAAAGATCTCACTCTCACTCTCTCAAAACAGATGGTAAGCTAAAATATGAGAATAATCTCTGGGTCCTCAAGAATTAGAACCTGACATGGAAGCAAGTCAACAGCTATCAATATTTGAGATCTGCCAATCCTGACTACAGGTTATCTTGCAACTGACTGACTAATTAACCTATCCCACCACCTCTAAGAAACTACCAGATGTAAAGACAACAAAATCAATTAAGTTGCACTCACTGACTAGAAGGTCCAGAGGGAAAAATGACCTTAAGAATACAGCTTTAACAATACAAGAGTACAGTCTAGTAAGCCTTACAGGCTCCACAGGTGAATGGTGTAATGTAGCCTGATCAACAGGCCCTTTACTAACTGTTGTTTCTGATAGCTCATTCCGGCAATTCTTTCCAGCTAGATGCCCTGCAGCACAAGTAAGATTCCCTTGCTAAAATGTTCACCATAACTTGAATAAAAAAAATTTCAATATCAGTTTTTTTTTTGGTCGAATCAATATCAGTTCAGTGGTATAATATTACCCTAGAAACCCGCTTGTTCACTCATATATTACTCTCCATATACATATCTATATAAATCTAACAAAGGTCTCGCAATCCACTGACAGACAATCCCATTGCATGAACAAATTTCTTGAGCATGAAAATATGAATAAGGACAAGAAAAAACATTACCCGAGATGCTAAGAAAGCAACACAAAAGTCAGTTATCAATACTTCAAATGAGAAAATTCCACAGATAAATCACCTCCAGCACTAGCTTGAATCTTGAAACTTATCACAAATTCCGGAAAAATGTGCGTGTTCATATTCATATTCCAAACTATATAGTACTGTGGATTTTGGAGCTCGTCAACTCCACTGTCAAAGTTGTTGCTGCTAGGACAGAATTGTCTGGATCCAGGATGGACGAGCTCAACACTGCCCAATATGACACGACAGAGCACAATGTGTTTTACCCCATTTTCATCATCATCACAAAACTTTGCACTGCAAAAGATGAGATAAGCTTAAACACCCTCTGAGGCTTAAAAAAAAATAGCAGCAATTACAGAGTACCATATGAAAGAGATTATCTACCATGTATATGAACTTCACAAGCTGCTACTCAAAAAGTGAAAAGATCTTATTTCAACTAGCGCCAAGCAAATAAACTAACAAAATTTTTCCCCGGAGGATCCCAAATGATGGTAATTCAACATTCACCTAGACTCCGACATTTCCTACAAGTTATGTGTCTGATTAGTCCACCAAGGGATAAACCCGCACAGTTCCAATCACCGCATTTGCACAAAGTGCAAACGTGATTTGAACTAAATCAACTAATTGACCACAGAGAAGGAGTTAGACTAAAACTACAGCCTGCATTATGCTGACAAGTTGCATGCTTCACCTACATAATCAAGGCCAACAATCTTGCAAAATGATCCAGTTGAAGATTGCAACGAACAATATAATTATACATAATAAAAGTATCCATATTATAACCAAAAATAGCATCCATATTGGAAAGAAAAAAAGCAAACCTAATATGTGTATTATCGACAGATGTGAGATGAACTGCAGAGCCATATGTACACACTCTCTTAAATCCACCTGCACCGGGACCATACATCATAATACTAGATACAGCATCCTTATTAGCTGCAAGCCAAGCATACTTAACATTTGGATCCCCACGAAGATTTCTTGTGATCTCAACTTGCTTTTCAAAGAGTTCCAATCGAGCTTGCATTGAATGACTAGAGCAATGGTTAATTTCAATTATGTCTGAGCGCATGAGGAACCCCATTCCCATAACAAACATGTCTCTAACGGTATCAGAATTTATGTGCTGATGCACGGGTCCAATTTTAGTTTCTGCTACTTTATTCATTAGTTGACCACCCCCAACTATATCCTCCAATTTTTTATCCAAAGGTTTATCAAGTTCGACATTGTCCTCCGCATCCTCGTTGCAATCAGCAGGAATTTGGTTAATTTTAATCTTCTTGACATGGGAACTTGACTCTTCAACGCCTTCTTCCATATAACATGTATGGGCTCCATTTATTTCGATATCCAGCTGCAGCTTAATCTCTTGCATCCCATTTGGTATCTCAAAAGAGTAACCAGCATCAGCCTCTAATTCAGATTGGCAGGACTTTTGCATCCCAGTAGCACCTGCATAAGGTTCAGGGAAGAAGTGGCGACCGGCTTCGTCAATCCATGCAATATGTCTTTGTGAACCTGTTACGAAATCCCACTGGCTCATGTACAAGATATCCAACAAAAAATGGCAACCATTGGACTTCACTTCAATTGCTGCATTTTTCAACTCAAAACTTTCCCTGATCAACTCAACAATGTAAGTTGGAAAATCATTCCATTCATTGTCTTGAAAGAACAGAACCCTTTGTGGCAGGCTGCTCTTCATAAAACGTGTGTAATTCTTCGAAACAGAGTTCCTTGCCCAACAACTACACTCAGTCTTGCATCCATCAAGTCTTTTACGTTTACGGAGCTTGCCAACCAATGAGTTCGAACTAACTTGTTGTGGAAACAGGGTACCTCTCTGCCCCTCTTTACGTGTTGCACCTTGGGGTTTGCACTTAACAGCTACTCGATGCCCAAGATCTTTATTCCACCTTGCTTCCATTACTACATGAAAACAGTGCAATTCAAATTTAAATACTAGAGCAGGACGACATGATCAACACGAAGCTTCCACATCGAGCGTGCCAGAGGAATGATGACATAAAGTGGAGAAAGATTTCCTGCGAAAGAAAAGGAGAATCAAACCTTTCAATTCAGTTAGTTAGAAATAAAATCAAGAACCATTATTAGCTAGAACGAGAAAAGCACGAATTGTCTCCGGACCCAATCACAACAACACCTACCAAATACCAGTGCCAACGAACATGTTGCGCTGATCTCTCCTTCACCGAACATCCTCTCAGTGTCGGATCTCCACACCGAGAAAAACAGCAAGCTCTACAACTGCGCTAGCACGCACCAACTCTTCGATCTCCCACTCAATTAGCAGCTACCCAAATCGATAAACTGCATCGTAAAGACGGTGGGAACTGATAAGCCCAGAAACGAATTACACAAAGAGATTTGCCACGACCCACCACTATACACGCATAAACCCACCTAAACACGAAAACCCCGCGATGATTACGAAGTCAAATTGCAACGATCTACACTGTACACCTATACCAACCACGAATTTTCTCGAAAGGCTCAAAAAAGAACGGTCATTTAAACCAAACCTTCAGCCGATCGGGAATCAAACCTACGACTTATCGAAAACCTAAATTGACTCCGTTCATCGAGTCAACCCTCGTCAAAAACAACATACGATTATCGGGGGATCCGAAAATAGACACGCGAGCAGCGACAGAGATTTGACTTACCTAGCGGCGCATGAGCATGTGGCGGAGGATTTTATACACAGTCGAATCAGCGGGAGAGGAAGATGAACGAAGTAGATTGCGTTGTTCATCGAAAGAAAGAAGGAAGGTCACGAAAGGCAAGACAGAGAGAGAGAGATTTTCTTTCTTCATTTTTTTAATTTATTTTGTGAGCTCCACGACAAAGAAAAATGCCGACATGGGCCCGTCCACGTGAAGGAATCTGAAACTTCCTTCCGCATTTCCATCATGACATCTTCGTCATAAAACAACTCTTTTTTCTTTGGGCATAAAGTGCATTCAAAAGTGAAATTAAGTCGAAAAACTTATTACGAAGATATAATTGAGTCCAAAATTTTTTAAAATGTACAATTAATTTTTAAATTTATCGAACTATTTTTGACAATCAAAACTATTTACATCTGTTGATACGTCTATTAAACTTATCACAAAAAACCCCAAACTGGTACATATGTGACAATTTTACCCTGAATTAAAATTTTAATATTATTTATTTATTTTTTCGAATTTTTATTTATTTATTTATTTTCCTTTTATTTTTTTTCTTTATCTTCAACCTACGGCGGTCGCGCAGGTCCGGCTGACTCACCACGAGGCGGAAGCCGGCAAGCGGCCCTCGCCGCGTGTCGGGCAAGGCCCGTCCTCGCCCAGTCCGACGAGGGCCGCCCTCGCCGGCGTCGGGCGAGGGCCGCCTCGCGGCGTCGGGCGAGGCCGTCCTCGCCCGCCCAGGCAGAGCGATCCTCGCCGACTCGGCGAGGCGCCTCGGCCAGTATCGGGCGAGGGCGCCCTCGCGATATCTGGCGAGGAGCAACCCTCGCTGCGTCGGGCGAGGTTGCCTCAGCCGGCGTCGAGGCGACCCTCGCCTGAGTCGGGCGAGGCCGCCCTCGCTAGATCCGGCGAGGGTCGCCCTTGCCGAGTCGAGCGAGGCGGCCTCGTGCCGGGCTTCCACCTCGGCCGTGGCCGGACCGGCGCCAAGCCGAGGTTGAAGTGAAGAAAAAAGAAAAGAAAAAAATTCAAAAAATAATATTAAAAATTAGTTTGGGTAAAATTGTCACATGTGTATCGAGTTTGGGGTTTTTTGTGATATATTGAGGTAAAATTGTCACGGGTGTACAATTTGGGATTTTTATGGTCAAAAAAATAGTTTGGGGTAAATGTGTCACAAGTGTACGATTTAGGGTTTTTCGTGGTATTAACCCGATGTATAATTAATTTTCAAATTTATCAAATTGATCCAATCAAATCTTTGTGTTGATTATACTTTTTGAAAGTTTTACGACTCAATTACACATTCGTGACGATTTTTATGACTTGATTGCACTTTTTGAAAGTTTTAAGGCTCGATTGTATTTTTGTGACAAGTTGTAGAATTTTCAGTACACTTTTCCCTTATCTTTATTAAAGAGTATACAGTACCTAATAATTACTGTTATTCACTTCTATGCTAAGGTGAATTATTGGAGCAAGCGTATGGATTTCTAAGGCTTATTTGTTTCAGATTATAAAAAACCTATGAGACAAAAATATAGTGAATTTTAGGAACTCGTTGTATTTGTTTGCTATTGAAAAATTAAGGCGGTTGTAATAAATAAAATGGTTAATACCACAAAAAATCCTAAACTGGTATACCAGTAACAAATTTACCCCAAATTAATTTTTTAACCATAAAAAATCTCAAACTGGTACATATGCGACAGATTTATTCTAAACTAATTGTTTGATCACCAAAAACCCCAAATTGATACATTTGTGACAAATTTACATTACGTTAAATTTGATTAATATCACGAAAAAATACAAAATGGTCTATCTATGATAGACAGAGGGTAAAACCCCAATCTGATTCACCCGTCAACTATCAAATGTCGTTCAACTCAGAAATTTGACGGTTAACGAAATCTAATAAAGGGTAAAATTGTCACAAGTATACCGGTTTGGGGTTTCCGGGGTTAAAAAATTAGTTCGGAGTAAATCTATCATCTATGTACCAGTTTGGGATTTTTCATGATATTAACCCTAAATAATAAACTAAAATTTTTAAAGCTTAAATAGAATTAGTTGGAAAAATACTTGTTTGAATTCGGTTCATATCATAGTTAATGGTTTATACAATTACAAATTGATCTCACGATATAAGTCATGGATCAAGTAGGATTATAAATGGGATAAGTATACTAAAAGTTTAAAAAATTATCACAAAAGTGCAATTGAGTCATAAAACCTATAAAGAGTGCAATCAAGTCATAAAACTTATCAAATTGATACAATATAATTCCTCCATTAATTCCGTTCAACTTAACTAACGAAAAATGCTGACGTGACTTTTTTTTTCTTATCTTCTCTCGCCTATATGGCGCTGACATGGCTAAAGCAACGTCACATTAGTATAAATTTTATTTTTTAATAGAAATTTCATTAAAAATAAGGGTAACTTTTAAAAAACCAAAAAAGGGAAAAAGGGAAAACCAAGTGAAGGCTAAGCCCTCCATTGCCAGGTAGGGCCAAATATCGTTGGGGTGGGCAACCAAGGGTTGGCAAGGTTCAGCAGACACTGCCCATTCCCTGCCATCACCAGCCCTTTCCAACAATGGTGGGGTGGCAACGACGACACTGACGAGAGCTCTCGTTGTTTTGCCTTCTTTCCTTTTTCTTTTTTGGAATAAGTGTATTAGAAGTCCTAAAATTTATTACGAAAGTGCACTTGTATCTTACAATTTTCAAAAATTGCAACCAAATCATAAAACTTGTCAAATTAATGCAATTGAGTCATTCTGTTAACACCGTCAATTTATTTAACGGAAATTATCGACACAACCTTTTTTAATTAATTTCTCTCTATTGCGTGGCATTTTTCTCACTTTCTTTCTCAAATCTTATTAAAATTTAATTAAAAAAACTAAAAAAGCTAAACTTTTATTTAAAAAAAAAACTAAGAAAATAAAAAGAACTATAGGGTATTGGCGTATCGCTGGTGGGGCACTGCCGCCTATCGCCGGAGGGCTTGACAGAGGTCGCCGATCCTAGGCAGGGGAGCCCTTGCCTTGCCAGCCCTGAGCAGGGCCTCGCCTTAGGCGGGCGATGGTTGCTGGCATAGCCTATTTCGCATCACCAACCACCCTCACCTAGGGGAGGACTGGCATAGCCTATATCACATCACCAACCACCCTCACTTAGGGCGACCTTCGCTGGCCCCTCCTGCAATAGGCGGCGGGGGCCTGTCATTCTTTTTTTTTTAAAGAAAATTCTAGCATTTTTATTAGTTTGTTTTTTCATTGTTGTTTTTTAAAGAAAATTTTAGCCCTTTTTTTAGTTTTTTAATCTAATTTAAATAAGATTTGAGGAATAAAAATGTCACGTAGGAGAGAGGAAATATTTAAAAATTCCATGTTAGCATTTCTGTTAGACAAATTGATGATGTTAATGGACAAACTTTACTTCATAAAATTAATAAGTTTTTAGATTTGATTGCATTTTTTTAATATTTTAAGATTCAATTGCACTTTTACGACAAATTTTAGGACTTCCACCTATCCTTTTTTTTTAACTTAGTTTATTTTTTAATCTAATAGATTAAAATATTATATTTGGACCAAAACAATGTTGTTTTAACCTTAATACCATGTAGGAAATAGAAAATAATATTAAAAAAGCCAAATTGGACGGAGTCAAGGGAATGACTTGATTCCATAAAAAAACTTTCAAAAAGTGCAATCAAGTCCTAAAACTTATTAGTATTTTTCATTTGTCAAGTTGGATGGGGTTAATGAGAAAACTTGATCGCACAAACTCGACAAGTTTAGGGATTCAATTGTACTTTCGTAACAAGTTTTAAGACTTCCAGTGCACTTATTCTAATAAATTAAAATTTTGGGAATTGCATTGTATATTGAATCAAAATTCATGGACTATTGTATAATTATCTCAAAACTTAATGAGTTTGAAACTTTGAATTGAACCCAAAAAAGATTTAGGTCGTCCTAGACTCATAGTATTTGGTTTTCCTAATTATATATCCGTACAAAAAACATTATTCACGACAATTGAGGATTATACGAGCAAAAAATGTATTATCATCTCAAAATTAAAAAAAAAAAATTACAAGAAAAAAGACAGTAGGGTACACGTGCGGGTCTGGTCATTTGGGGTTCAAAGTGCTCTTCGCTTCAGTTTGCCTCTTTTTTCTCAAGGAGAACTCGAAGGAAGCAAGCAGCGATGGCGAAGGGAGGCGGTCTTTGGGACGATTCCGCTCTCATCAACGCCTTCGACGACGCCATGTCCAAGTACAAGGTACACTCTTCTGGATTCGCCCTCTCCATTTGTGCTCTTGCCATACTCAAGAGTGCCCGAAGCATTCGAGTTTGTCGTACTGTGCTCTTCTTTTTTTTTTTTTCCTGTTTTTTCCGTTGCTTTTGCTTATCGATGGCTCTGAAGCACAAGGTCTCGTAGACCGTTGGTTAGTTGCAGTCGCAGAGACGAAGTACGAGTATGTTCACCTCGTGCAGCAGAGGAATTTGGATTGGAATATTAGGATCGATGCATCGTGTCTATCGAGGTGGTATAGCCAGAAATGGATGCTAACTGGTGATTATTTTTTTTTTTTTTCTGTTTCTAGGTTAGCTCTTTTTGTTTTATGCTCTTATCTTTGGCATGGATGGAATTTGCCAATGCCGGTGATAGAGGATTGGGATTTTCTTCTGCGGAATCAGTTGTTATATAGCCAAAATTCAAGTAATGGGTTCTGTTGAACTTGGCAAAGTTGGCCGAAACGATGGTTTTTACTAAGCTCAATATGATTTTAACTAAGCTCTTCTTGTTTTATCTAAATTTTGGCGTGGCAATAGTGCTGATCCCATGGTGAGGCGGTCCGATGATCGAAATCAGATATGTTGACTTCTGGGTTTTGCCCTATTTGTTGTTCAGATCGAGGGAAAACGCTTCTCTCCCGAAATCCGTCTCTCCACTAATGTTTTCCAAAATCTTGTGCTTCTTGACATGAGTTTCTCTGTGGTTTTGATAGCTTGGGGGAACCAGCTATAAGATAGATTCAAACCATGGGAAAAAGGGGAAAGAAAAAGAAGAAAAAGAAGAAGCACTAGCCTTAGACGTTGCCCTAATCTAAATGAAAGTCTCACGTGCGCTAATTGAAGTTAAGAATTTGCGATTTACTTTGCTGTTCTCTCAATAATAAAAATGGCATGGTGAGAACGAGTGGGATGAATATATTGTTGTATCAGTTGAGGAAACCAGTGTCTTGGGTGGCCTTTGGATTTTTGTCAGAGGCTGGTCTGGCAGAGTCTGGTTTCAGTAACATGTCTGAAGGAATTACACCACCATCTTATCATTTACGTACATGGAGCTGACTTATGGCATGGATTATGGTGAACTAACGGGGACATTTATCTCTTTTGTTTGCTCAGTTAATGCATGGCCAAAAGAATAACAATCCATCCGAAGGAGTAGAAGTTGTTGATGAGCAGGAAAAAAGTGTTGCTTCTCCTGGCCAGGGAAATCATGTCACGATGTAAGCATGTAATCGTGGGGAGTTAACCCATTTGTGCTTGGTACCTCCTTGAAATTTTGGTTGACTATGTTTTTGAACTTATCATGCTCTAATTGAATTAAAATGTGCTTAGCAAGCAGATGCATATATCCCGTACTATAGAAAGTGTTTCTGTACTAAATGGAAAAGCATAATATGCGTATCCATCTATGATGGATCATTGTTACCTCGTATGCATTTTTTTTGAAGCTTATGGTGTCTAAAGCCAGAGATAGGTTCAGAAGTTATGTTGGAGGGAAATATGATTTGTGTTGATATCTCTTTATTAATTTATACTGAATGTCTTTTTCCATGGAGGGGCTTAACTTGGAATGTCAGACAGTTTTTTGTGTCATTGGGGAACTTCAATCAGCTTAATACACGCATGCTCATGCAAATGTGTGTGGTTGAGAAGAGAAAAGAACGTGTATTCACTGGTTACTCTTGCTATTCTTGTTTATGAATGCGTAGGAGGGAAGAACCTAAACACACTGTTGCATCAAATTGTGCAAAAGTACCTGGAGAGGCTAATAACGACCCATCAGTTAATGGAAACCCCTGTGGAGATGTGTTGGCTCAGGGATCTCATCCAGATTCATCAAATGGTATGCCTGTACAAGATACACTAGAAGCCCATTCATATTCTCAAGGTGCTGAAGGTTATGACCAGTTACTTGCCGAATATTATGAGCTTGAGCAAAAGAAAGAAAAGGTTCTTCAGCTGCTGCATCAATATGGTTACTGGAATTACCAGTTTCCTCAGGATGCTAATGGAGCTGCTCCTAGTGCACCGTGGGCTACTGCTACTGCTGCTATAGAGCCTTCTGTCCCTTCAGGCCACACTTTTCCAGTTGGTAGTCCATGCTGCCCTTATGTTTGTCAGTCATTTGAAGCACCGTGCCCTGTTTCTACTTGTTCTTTTGGTAAAACATGTGTCGGTGAAATTTGCAACGGTGCTCCTTCCACAAGTCATCAAAAAGTGCCTGTCGAAGATTCTGACGTTACAAGGACAGCTATTGAAGCTGCGGAGAAAGCACTATCTTCTTTGAAGATAGGAAGATCTACTGGGGAAGAAGACAGATCTGGATATTTTTCAGGTCAGTATTCAGGTCAATAGTACGATCGTGATTAGGAAACTTAACTCTTTATCGTGGAATGTTGCGATGATAGAAAGATAAGGAGTGATGACTGTTGAAAGAGTACAAAGCACTCTTAAAAGGCAAAGAAACTGAGAATTGCGGGGGAGAGCTCATATTAAAATCAGTTGTAAATAGCTAAAGCTCTTGTCGCATATGAATGCGTATCCCTAGAAGGAAGATGGGGAGCTTGATTGAACTCTTAACATTTAGCTATGAGAAAGGGAATAAGGAAAGTGGGAGGGCTTCGATGAGTGGCAATGACATTTTTACTTAGTATATACGCGATGATAATTTCAAGCATGTTGCTCTCAGGCACGCTTCAGCTTTAGTCTTATTCCTTTTTCGTATAATATTGTTGCGTCATCTTTTGACGGAATATATTTTGTGTCACACTGCATGACAGAGAAAAAGCTAGAAGGGGAAACTTTACAGACTGAAAGTTCCGAAACTGATCTTAGTGTTGTTCTGAATGCATGGTATACTGCAGGCTTTTACACGGGCAAGTAAGTATATGTTCTGTGCTTAAACTCTTCGACAAATTAAGTTCCCACCATTCTCCCTTTCCAAATTTTCACTTATTGCATGCAGTTATTCTATGTGAATGATTTAGTGACAGGATCTAATTCAGCGAAAATGAAAAAGTTCAGGAAACAGTTATCTCTGAAAATGGCATCATGACCTCTTTTTCAACATTGAAGAGATTCTAAGAGCGATACTCTATTGATTCCGGTCTAGAACTACCAAAAACATGTTCCAGAAACACTGATTAGTTTAGCTAACGGGAGTCGGTAGTGCTCCGTTGGTACTCATTGGTAATCTCTGTCTTGCTATTTGCAGAATCTGCATACTGTTAATTAACTTCTGGACATGTGCATGGTTACAGGTATCTCGCGGAGCGGTCTGTTCGAGAGAAAGGGCGTTCCTAAACAACAAGAACTTATCCATGGTCTTTGAGGCTTTGAGCTCCTTCAAAGAGGTTCTGCGCCAAAAATTTTGACATGTTCATTTGCGTGTTTATTGCAATTCCATGGATTGTTTCATGGACTGCTGACTCCCATCTATTACTGATATCTTGAAAAATGCTAAGTACATCTAGCATTGCCGATGCTTTCGTGTTGGCCGAGGGTTACAGGCTTACAAGTTACCAGCTCATACGGACTGACTCTCTTGTTAATGATTTCCCAATTTCTTTTTCTGAATTTGTTGCGGTGTCGCTGTAACTTGGCTTGGGATTGAACTCTGAACTCGATTTGTGCCGTTGAAACCATGTCGAAATGAAACGGTTTCCCTTCACAGACCATAAGGTCAGATCGGAGATGGAACTTATAGATGAAACGGGACGAGACTTGAACGACAATCCCTTCGAGCCTAGTTCAAGTGTCGCGTGATCGATTGTAAAACTCAGGAAATATACTTGCATGCGGATGGGGGCGAACCTTAATAGCCGAATGTCGCAAATCTCTCGGGATTCACATGATCTATAGTCGATAGCTAGTTCGGCCTCGCGGTGGATGGGTTGAGGCCAGAATTCACCGAAATCGGATAGCAGCAGCAGCAGCAGGAGTTTGAGCACGCGAAACTCGAGAAAGACGGTAACTGGAAATTGCAATGGTTCGTTTCCGGTTGGGATTCGATCCGGGCCGACAAACCGACCCGGTGTGGACCCGACCCGAACTGCCGAGGAAGATTTCAGTGCCGGATGGAGACACTTCATTAAATCCTCGCCCATCATGGTGCTCTCCCCTTGTCGGGACATGGATGGAGCGTTTGGCGTTCACTGGGGGGGGCATTTCGTGCGCATGCGAATCCGAAAAGCCCGAACGGCGCAAGAAGATCCAACGGTGGCAGCACGGGACATCCGTGGGGCCCACCGCCCCTCGTCATTAGGGGCCGTAGGATCCTCCAGCTCACTCGCGGCCATCGCTCGCTCGTCGCCAAGTTCGCCTCCCGCCTTAAGAACCGAAAAAGGTGAAAGGTTGCCCCCCCCCCCCCCCCTTCGCGTAAGAGGATATTCATGGTTTCTATGATAAAGAATTCGACACCTATAAATTCTTGGAATTACTATGTTTTTTTCTTTTCATATATATATATATTCGCGTAAGAGATGACGGGCTTCACGAATGCACGCTTTATTTTAACGTATCGGGACTTACATGTCTCTCACTTCCCAACTCTCTTCCTACCTTTGTCTGCACCGGAAGAGATGAAATACCATCTAATCATTTTGTATGCCGATGATTGAAATTTCACTTGATTACTATATACACACAACTATGATTTGTCATTTGATTTTCCACGGCGAAACACCCTTATCTCTCTCCCTCCGGCCAATCTGGAATAGCCACGTGTCCTGCAACCGAGATTTTTTCGTCCCACCGCTATTCGTCAAAACCGGGTGGTGGGGGTGGGGGTGGGGTTGGGCGATGAAAAAGCAAAGCACGTGCGGTCCCCGCCAGCCCATCTAACGTCTCTCTCTCTCTCTCTCTCTCTCTCTCTCTAACGATCTCGCGATAATAAAGGACCACCTCACGCTCTTCCTCCACACACGCCCATTTTTAATCACACGGCCATCACAGACTATGTTGAGCTCCCCCCTCAGCCTCTCATCCTCCTCAGCAACCGCCTTGCTACCCCGCGCATTCTCCCTCCCCCCCGCCGCCCCCGCCAGGCTCCCCCTCCCGGCCTCCCGCGCCGACGCCGCCGCCGCCTCCGCCTCCGCCTCGCCTTGGATCTCCGTCCGATTCTCCCCCTCCCCCTCCCCCTCCCCGCCGAGGCCCCCCACGTTCCTCCGCGTCCGCGGCATGGCCGAGCTCGTCCAGGACAAGGAGTCGGCCGAGAGCGGCGGCGGCGGCGGCGGCGTCGCGGCCGCCGCGGCCTCCGGCTCCGGCGACGACGAGGACGCGAGGCAGCAGCGCTCCCGGATTTTCGTCGACGCCCGCTCCGAAGAAGGTCGGCTCGTGCTTTCTAGCGGGCCTTCTCCGTTTTTGCTTTCTCTTGCTCGCTCGCTACGTAGCGGATGAAAATGAAATCGAGGACGGATAGTGGATTGCGATGTCGAGACGAATTTTTTGCGAGCGTTTAGGATCTAGTCCTTCTTATTCCTGTGAGGCAATAACACCGCCCGAATGATTTCTGGTGATTGAAAGGGATTGGAAGAGTGTTAAGCCAGAGGCGTAGGATTGAATGCTCGAATGATGCCGACTCGAGTGGAACTTTTAACCTATCCGAATGCCGTCTGGTCGGATTTCATGAAATGAAAACTCGTATCTGACCTGTTGTTAGGTGACTTGACTGTTTGTCTGTAAACTATGGTGATGTTCTTGCTTTCAGAAATGTTTCTACATTCTATTGTTTAGTTGCCTAAAATTTGGACCCGAGGACGCAAAATGTATCCAGGTTCACTCGGTATTCACTTTTGTTCCGGCTTACCTCATTTGGTGGACATGAGTTTTAAGATCGGAACGTGTTTCTGTCTTTCTGTAGTAAATAAATTACGGCACATGTGCTCTAAGGAAAAAGCACCGGCTCATTTGGGGTTTAAGCTGGTCAAGTGAAGCCGTTACTCGTCGTTTGCTTTATTGACGGTGTATTGAATAATGTCCTTTTGAGCCTGCACTTAGTAGAGTTCTTCCCTGTCCCTGTGATCACATTGTGGAGTGAAATTTACTCCCTGCACGTGCGGTTTTCCGGTGGAAATTTTCATCCAGAATTTTAAGTTTTGTCTAATCACCAGTGCAAACTACCTACGAATGCCAGGATGGGAATATGTGATGATTGATGCCTCTGTGAAAAATTCTTGTGGAGTCCTCGTGCTCTATTTTGTTTCTAGTTATAAAAAAAAAGTATAATCTCTAATTAGCAAGATAATGCTGTCAATGAATTTTCTTGCCTCTCTCACCCTAATTTATCTACAAGGATCGGAAACGAATGAAATGTATATATATCGAATGTGAGCCCAAGAGGAAAAAATTTCATATTATCAGGTCTGATTTATTAGCCTTGCCTTGTATGGTTTTTCCAATTTTGATTTCCCTATGTGTGAATTTGAGGCATCATATCTCTGAAGACCTCATTGCATGATTTGGTTGATCAGACATGTGAACTGTTCTTTTGCTCTTAGTTTCATGTAATAGAGAGATCGACTTTGGGACTAACTTCATTTGCTTTCTTGAAACATGTACGAGCAGAGCTGCTTTCTGTAATCGCGAAAGAAAAGGATGAGGGAAGGCTGCCTCCAAATGTTGCTGAGGGAATGGAGGAATTGTTTCACAATTACAAGAATGCAGTAAATAATATAACTTGACTCATCATTTAGTGTGATCGTTTATGTATGTTCCCCAAAGATGCATTTGCTTTTGCTCCTTAGTTTTGGCCAATAGTCATTTTCAAAGGTTGATTTTCGGGTAGAGAAAGGTAGTCCAATTTTCTTGCTAGTCATTCCTTTGTGTAAAATAGTTTTCTGTAGATGGTAAGTAAGTTGATGGATGGTCCTGAAACTAGTAGTTTATAATTATATTTCCTTCCGGTGTAAAGAAATTCTGGACTTGGATTTATTCCCTGAGATAGTAAAATTTGGATCTGGAGAAAGTACAATAGTAGAAATACCCCTTTGGTCGACTGAAATTGCAATGGATTCAATGTTGGAGCTACATCCCAGGCCATCAACTTGCAATCTGATCTTACAATGGACTCTCACTCAGCTATCTACCATGGGGATGTGATGCCTTGTATTTCTGTTTATAGTTCTATTCTCTCCATCAGCTTCATTAGCCAATGAATACCAGAAAGAAAATGTTATTTTGTTTGGCTCTTTATAAGAGGTTGCATGAAAAGAATACGAAAAAAAGAAGAAGATCAACTTGAAGTGCTTTGACTTAAGAAATTAAAAGTAAAGGTTTACAACGGTCTTTGTTTTGCTAAGCCTAAATTGTGATCTTCATGAGCTCGATGAGGTAATTTTGTTGTTAGTTCCCTATTGGTGAAATGTTTGTCAAATTTATCCAACAAGAATTAATATCATGACATAAACATAAAGGAAATATAACATTATAGCTCTTTCTATGTAATGCTGATTCGGTGAAACTATCACATGCATGCACCAAAAATGGAATGTTCATAAGTACGTCAATGGTCAGTTATGCATTTGACGATGCAATGTTTATTGATATCTGGATTATCCGTTACCCTTCACATGTTTTGCTAATGGAAACTATGCAACTTGTTATAACCACGGAATGCACTGACTAAACTAAAGAAGTTACCACCATATGCTTGCCTCTTAACCATAGGCTTGGTCTTCACAAAATGATACGATGATGGTCTTTTTTAAAAAACATTTTTGTGATTTAAGCGTAAATTGAAGAATGACTTGCCATTACTGCCTAATTCATATTTTCCCAAATATTTTCTGTCCGAAGTTCACGATATAATATGACCGACGAATCGATGGAAGGAATGGCTTTTACTACTAGTACTATCAAATAACACATGCACCCTAGTAAGACCATGTGTTGGTGCATCTTTTAGTGCTATTATGTTTGGTGGTTAGAATTTGGTATTTAACTTTAAAATTTCTCAGTGAGTCGTTTATCCTTTTGCTTTAATATATTTCCTAACATTTACGATATAACTAGAAATCTGCAAGATCCTTTGCTTATGAGAACACTTTTTCCTTGAGTTTCTGTCCGTAGGTTATTTTTCTGCTTTCCATTTTAAGGTTCTAATTCTGTTTCTTCCTGTGTTGTCCACAATCTTATCTGGTTTTCTTCCATGTTGTCACTCTGCAGGTCTTCCAAAGCGGAATTCCTCGTGCTGATGAGATTGTTCTGTCAAATATGAGTGTTGCGCTCGATCGGATTTTCTTGGATGTTGAGGTAATTTTCAAGCATTTTAATCTTGGTTGAATAGCAGTGTATCTTATTTTGTTTGTGCATTTCTCTACAAGAAAGAGTAAAGAGATCGTTTGTGTGCACTTAAACTTTGCTAAAGTAAACGAAGCTTGGATGTGTAAAACTTTTGAACTGACAGAAAGCAGTAATCTTTCAGGAGCCTTTTATCTTCCCTCCATACCACAAAGCAGCAAGGGAGCCTTTTGACTACTATATGTTTGGTCAAAATTACATCCGTCCTCTGGTTGATTTCAGGTTCATCGATAATTTTGTGCTCACTTCCTTCCCAGAGCTTCACTGAAGAATATTACAAGGCGCTTAAATTATTAATGTTCTATAGATTTGCTTGGCTTGTCTTCACATGCCAAAGATTCATGATCTTCTAGCGATGAACTTACGTACATACTTTTAATTAACCCGCATTACTCCCCTTTCAGCCCTAATTGCTTTAGGCAAAATTGATTTCCCTTCCAGGAAAACGCAAAAACACTTTCCCTACTGTCCTTTTTTTGAAAAAATAATTCAGAATACTTGGGAACATAAAATACTAAGAATTAAGCTTCTGTTGTTAACCCAGCATATGAATTGCAAGCCCCTAAGTTGTTTTCAAAGGGTTTTACGGACATATCCCTAAACAGGGAAAGCTCCTGCACTCGCTTTTCTCATTGGACCTGTGACTAATTAGCTACGTTCCTCTAGATATGTCTTAGCATTTCTGAGTTGTTTATACTCTTTCACATATGTCTTAGTTTGCTCTTCGCTTCTGATTTGTCTTTATGCAGAAACTCATATGTTGGAAACATTTCTATCTTTGATGAAATCCGCGAGAAACTTCAGGAGGTGAGTAGCGCTTTTGTTTCCCTTCTCCTTTAGATGGACCGATGACGACTCTGTGTCTTGCTGAAACTTGTTCCAATCGCATTGCCTCTTAAACTGAAATCGTTTTTGTTTTCTAAAGAATAACTTAATGTCATAGCATATCCCTCCTCCTTTTTTTGTACAGTGTATTTGAGTGATTCAAGTGTTAGCAAGTAGGTTGGACTCTTATATATTTAACTTCTTGGCCTTTCGTATTACTTATCGCTGAATGTGATTACCATTCAGTAGATTGCATTCTGCTTTTGCTCGTTATGCAGAATTATGATCTGAAACTCCTTATAAACTTTTCTGGTTTTTGTATGCATGCACATCAAATTTGACCTTTAGCAGCTTCACAAAGTAAAATAGGCAAAACATCACTGTAGAAGAGGATCCAACTGTTAAACATTGCTAGTGTATATCTTAAATTGCAGGGTCACAATGTCGTTCTGATATCCAACCACCAATCTGAAGCAGATCCAGCTATTATTGCTCTGCTTCTTGAAGGAACACATTCACATATTGCGGAGAATGTGGTACAGATTGGATCCTGTATTAGACTTGATTGTTACTTCATTCATAAGTATAGGCCACAAGTGGGCCACTTGCTTGACCATATCTTTTATCTCCTAGTGTAGACTTATGTAGCTGGAGATAGAGTTGTAACAGATCCACTCTGCAAGCCCTTCAGCATGGGAAGGTACTTAAAATCTCGATCCTTATGAGTGGCTATAAGGTTTAACACGCTGATGAGTGATTAGGTCACGCTCATAACTTGATACTTCTATTTTCTCTAGGAATCTTATTTGTGTATATTCGAAAAAGCATATGTTTGATGTTCCGGAGCTTGTTGAGATGAAAAGAAGATCAAATACACGAAGCTTGAAGGAAATGGCTTTGCTTTTAAGGTACTATGTTCACTGCTTTTCGTGTGAATGCAAGCTGTTATATGAAAACCATTGAACGGTGATGTATATTCAGCTCCGATAAAATTGCACTTATGGTAAAGATCTTGTTCAATGTGAACAGTTGGTCACCTTTTGCCTCCTCTATTTGTCATTTCATTGATTCTTCATGTTCATAAGTAGACCAATGCTCTTGTCACAAGTGAGATAATATTCTAGTTATGCTGAAAATTGCAGGGGTGGATCACAATTACTGTGGATTGCACCAAGTGGTGGCAGAGATCGTCCAGATCCTCTTACAGGAGAATGGTCTCCGGTGGGTTTTCACTCCGCTCTCTAGAATTGTGTGGCAGTGTTCCTTTTCTGCAGCTGCTCTTTCTAAATTCTGTCAAATATGCTCCACTGAACTTACTTGTGATCACTCGTGTTTACTTCTTTCTGCCACTAGAAGATAAAAAAAAGTTTGGCCTGCTCACTATAATCCGTTCAGTCCTCTGGTCATTGTTATCTGCTCTTTTCAGTAATTCTGATATGAAAGAGTGGGCAGGCACCCTTTGATTCTGCTGTGGTAGACAACATGAGGAGGCTTGTAGAACATTCTGGCGTGCCGGGACATCTCTATCCATTAGCATTATTGTGCTATGATATCATGCCGCCGCCGGCCCAGGTTTTGGAATCTACATGATGTATACATCTCTTCTTGTAACAACTTTATTCTGTCTGATAAGGCGCAACTTTACAGGTGGAGAAAGAAATTGGCGAAAAAAGAGTGATTACCTTCCATGGTGCTGGGTTATCAGTCGGACCGGAGATTAAATTCAATGAAGTTACTTCCACCTGTAACGACTCTGAGGAGGTTACTCTTTTTTACGTTGATATGCCTTATCTTTTTTAATATATAGTCTGCTATTCTTTTATGCTTTTCTGTAGCAAGTATTGTTGGTGCTTATGTTAACTCGTGAACAGGTTCTTATCCAGGCTTCTTGTTGCAACTGAGTAGTGTGTGTGTGTATTTTATCTCTTTGGAAAATATCTACCTTACTTTTCCAAATTTCTTCTAAATTAAAATAATTTCGTTGCTAAATGTAAAATGTTTTGTTCTTGTGAGTTTGGTTTGATTTGCAAATTTTGGATGGCAATAAGTGGCAGCATTGCTTTAATGATGTCGGAAAAGTTTGCATAGGAAAGCCAGTGCAGTGGTATTTATACAGATCTTTCCAGGTCTTCCATTTTTAGATTCTTTTCTTGCTCAAAGTGAAAACCAATAATCCATATCGTGAAAAGAGTAAGCTGGTGTGAGTCTTTACATGCTATCATGGCATTGTCGGAAAATCAAAATGTTTTTTTTTTTTGGGTCAGTAATGAATGAGAATACCAATGCTCTTCCTTTCCTTTCTTTAATGCTCTGTGTCTTCCAAGCATGGTCCCTGGACAGTCCTTATTCCCTTTGCAGGCGAAGGAGGCATATGCACAGGCTCTCTATGAGTCTGTTACTGCGCAATATAATATTATCAATTCTGCTGTACATGACAAAAAAGGACTGGAAGCATCAACTGCAGAGGTTTCCTTGTCGCAACCGTGGAATTACGAGAATTAATCGCACCTTTCCGAAGGTATTTTTGGCTTCAATAATTTGGAGTAGAAATGATGCCTCTTGAGATGTTTCTGGGATCAGAATCTGTTCTTGGTTGTGTTATGTCAAAACTTTTGTTGAGAATGACTTAGAAGCCAGTTTTAGAGATGTAAAATCGATGGTGAAGCATGATGATCAGAAGGTAATTATGAGCATATCAATACTTTAAACAGAAAATGTATCAGCTTTTTAAAACTGGAGGGTTCAGGTTGTTTGGTCGGTTGCTTTAGACGATGGCATTTCGTGGATGTGGACTATTTTCATTTAGCACCATGCACATCAATATACTTCATTAATAAGATCAAAGGTCCACCTGAAAAGCATCAAATTCTGCCTGGTTTCATGAGAAAGGCTAATAGAAGTTCGATGTTATATTAATTTGTCAACAATGTTAATTAGAAGAAACCAACGGAAGTGCTTTTCTCATTCTGTACCTCTTTTTCCTGCTATGCCGATAATCTTCTTCCTTGTTCAGATAAAAGTATCATGATGGAACTTTAATTATCTATCCTGGGATATGTTAAGCACCATCTACCTCAACAGGACAGGCATCTTTTTGTTTGGTGTCCAACTTTCTTGTCTTGTGCATTGCCTATTTAAATAATGTTGCGTCAACAAAGTGGTGGTATTTGCTGTGCTGTCATTTGGTTTTTTTTTTTTCATACCATTGTTCGGAAAGTTTCGTGTTCCTCTGGAAAATGAACTTATTCCACTGCCCAAAAAAAGATGTCGCTACATATATTAGATGTTCAGTCTTCTGTGTGGATCCACTTGGGATTTTGCACTGATGAAGTACTGGTCCAAGACAGTATCCCTTGTACTGTCGAGGAGGATGAAGCCAGGCTTGTGCTTCTTCTTCTTCTTGGTACCCATCTGCTGAAACTTGATGTTCCATCTACGAGCCTGATCTGGTACATGTCTATGTAGGGGCATGAAAACTTCATTTGAAACTGCACATCTAGTTTCTAACTCAGAAAAAATCATGCGATTTGAATGTTAAACATACATTATATGCTCTGTAAAAATGTTGATCCTTTGGTGTTGTTTTGCAGGCGAAAGGTTCTCTTTTGAACATGTATCTACAATTCATTAAGTAGATATAATCTTCTGATCCAATTCAAGTACATACTGGAAAACGGAGCTTTATTTTTGTGGACCTTTTGACGAACTCTTGGAAGTACTCGAACCAGCATCTCTTTTCTCCTTCCGTCCATAGCTTCCGGGAGCTGACTGGTCAGAAGTCCAGGGCTGTTTGAGGAACTCAACTTGGCGAATTGTGTGCTGTACAGCAATAGGTGGAGCTAGTTGCTGATCGGCCATCTTACAGTCTCACATGTATATGGTGTACTACATAACAGCTATTAATTAATCGCTCTAGTTTTCTTTAGTAGCTTTTTGCCTACTAGTCATTCATCGTAGTCTCGTATTTGAACTTGGCGTATTACAGAATTTAGTGCTGGAAGGTCGTAAGTTTTGCCTCAGCAGGCGGGTGAAAGTCCTTTCGTTTTGTTAGCCCTTTTTAGACATTCGTTTTCCTGATAGGAGGAGCATGGAATAGTTGCCCTCCTATGATATTGATACCGAAATGTCGCGATTAGGTAAGTATAGATTGCATCAAGGGAGGCATCACGCACGGCATGAAATCACTCACTGTCCTCTTTTGACAGTCTCCTCATGTAATGGTTCTTATTCATTTATTCACTTTACAGCTTGCCATATTGATTCAATCTGCCAAGTGACTTCCATTGAGATAAGGCATGTATTAGCCCCTCCTAACGCCCTTGTGAACTCGGATTAGCTAGAGAATTGCCGCCATTGACACTTTAATCTAACTCGAAGAGATCAGCCTCCCTTTGTCTTTGGACGATGAGGAGCAAAGCCGAATCCACTAGAATACGCTCTGATATGGGTATAATGGAGACCTAACATCTCCAGTTTAGGCCTATGTTCTGTCCGATTTGTGCGATTGTCCTGTTTAGTAGCTGGAGGATGCAGGAGAAAAACGAACATCATGTGATAAAACGAACTAATTGAAGACTAGCGATTGTGCATCCATAAGAAATCAACGTTTTACTTGAGGCAGAAAGCTACATGGCCATCGGGTCACCTGTTTTCTGGTGCGCAGGCGCGGAAATTGGCATGGAATAGTTTGTCAGAGCCTCATTACTAGAACCCCATATCAGCTAAAGTCTATTTATGCAATGTAGAAGTTTCATGAGGCAATATTTAAGTTGCGAAGTGCACTTAACACTCACGATCTACGCACATGTAATTAACCATGTACGGCATGCTAGGCATGCTAGCAACGCGTGATGTATCGGCTGCATAACTCGTTTCCTCGATGCGCACGGCCCCCCTTTTTTCGGTCCTCAAAAAAGGTTTGAAGCGCATCTCACTTGTGGAATACCGAGCCGCCCCAAGAGGGCCACTGTTTCGTACTTAACCAAGCGTGTGTGTGCGTGTTCGGTCGAAAACACATCATTCAACTTTGGCTTCTGTCTCTTCTTTTTGGTATTTGTTTCTCGCGCGAGGGGAAGATCATGTGCGCTTTCCCCACCGCGCCGATTCGGAGTTTTAAAAATAGTGGGGATGTGTCGCACTGTTTACGGAACTGCGTGGCTTGTGTTTTTATTATAAAATGCATCGCGGGCCGAGAAGCATATCGAGAAAGAAAGGGACACGGTCTTTTTATTACCTTAAATTAATGAACAAATTGGTCGAATAGCATCTCGAGCCGGGGGGGCTGTATCAAGATCCCCTGTGGAGGGCATGGCTTTGTTTAATGTACCTTAAGTCGTGGCGTCACGTACTTTGTTTGATTAATAAATGTCGCATGCACGAGGATTGGAAATAATCTCACATTCTCTCTCTCCCCCTCGATAAATTAGAATAAGGAGAGGGTCAAGATTATGGGATCGTAGGAAGAACCATTCCATTCCATGCCATGCCATGCCTTCCCGTTCTCGCTCCGAGCAAGTAATTTGGACATGTTTTGCGGTTAATCATGCCTCGGTCGCGGTCGCGGTCGCCACGCGACACCAGAGAGCGAAGAAAAGCGTTTTGCGCGACAAGAAACGCTACGTGATAGTAACGCGTGACGTGAGACCGGTCGATTCAAATCGCGATACATGCAAATAAATACAACACAAAGTAGCAAGAGATTCGCAGTGCTAGGACAATATTTATTGCTCGGTCACATCGCGACTATCACAGCGTGTTCATCACAATAAAAGTTTCTTTCTAAAAGACGGACCCCCGCGGACGTGACACGGCGGAAGTAAATCGTCCGCATTCATTCACCTTTGCTCGCCCAGAATTATTACCACATGCCTTTTGTACAACGAGGTTAATTTTCACATGCACGCGAAAGTTTTTTAGGTTCAATGGGGGGGGGTGGCAAAGAACATGATGCTCGATCCCTCGGCGCACGTGGCGGGCCGTGAGAGGTGGGCCGAGAAGTAGGGCCACGGGAGCCGTCGGATGGAACGAAATTTTACTCAGGTGGGAGGGGCATCCCTATCCGGTTGGGATGGCGATGGGGGGACCCGGGGGCTGAGATCTTGGCAAGAAGTCAACAGACCGAATCAAGACCGTGATGGACCTGACGGGGCGACAGCACATCAAAGGGATAAGTGACTTGACCCCCCCACCTTGGCATGGTTGGGCATGAGCGTGGCAAGATCATCATGGCCACTTCTTCTCTTTTTTTTTTTTTTAAGGACCTGATCGATAAGTGAACTCTAAATTAATAGGAAAAATCACGTAAACAGTCCCTCAATTTTGGCTCAATATTCAATATGATCTCTAAGGCTTTAGCCTAATATCTACAATATGTTCCCCAAACTTTTTATTTGTTCAATGTCGTCCATGAATTTTTGATATATGTCGGTTTAGTCATTTTGGATTATACGAAAATATTCAATGATCATTCTATTAATTCAAGTACATGAACTACGTTAAAGGTTTCATATAGTTCAAGGACTATATTGAGCGTACTAAAGTTAAGTGGACCATACGGTCTCTCAATCTTGGCTCAATATTCAATATGATCCCTAAGCTTTAGCCTAATATACAATATGTTCCCCGAACTTTTTATTTGTTCAATATCGTCCATGAACTTTTGATATATGTCAGTTTAGTCATTGGATTATACGAAAATGTTCGATACAGTCATTCTATTAATTCAAGTACATGAACTACGTTAAAGGTTTTCATATAGTTCAAGGACTATATTGAACATGTACCAAAAGTTCATGGACCATATTGGACAAATTAAAAGTTCGGGAACCGCGTTAAACATTACGCTAAATTTTAAGGACTGCTTGTGCCATTATCCCAAATAAATATTCGTTAAGATTACCAGTTCGGTGTTCGATCGAGGCTAGCATTGAATTGCTTGCTCAACCATGGTCGAAAGAGATTGTTTGGAAAATCAAAATACTTGAGAAGAATGGAAGTATGTTTTGTTATTATAATAATTATATGGTGTTTATATCTCATCAATTGCTCGACAATATTCGGATGCGGCGAGTCGTTGACCTTGAATATGGAGGATTTTAAGAGACGTGCCTTCTTACAAGTATAATTGAGAATTCGAGTGTATACTAGAATTCGATATTATAGTGAAAGTATGGGAAAATTGTTTAGAATGTCATAAACCTATTCTACTTTTACCAATTCAATCAAAAACCTTTCAATTTTATCAATTGAGTTCTAAACCTTTTTCATATTTTGTCAATTGAATCCATCCTATCAATTTTGGCCAGAATTTTTACAAGTGGTATGGCCGGTACTGACGTGAATAAATTATATTAATTTTTTAAATTTTTTTTCGAATTTTTAAATTTTTTTCCCTCTTCTTCCTTTGCTGATCATCCAACCTCGGCAATGGCCAATGATTGATCATAAGCTACAATCAACGAGGGTCAATCTCACTGCCCTCGACCGAGGCCAACGAGGGTTGGCCTCATCGACTTTAGGCGAGGTCGCCCTCCCCATCCTTAGGCAAGGTCTAGCCTCGCTAGCTTTTGGCGAGGGTCGCCCTCTCTGAAGGCCAGTGAGGGTCGAGACTTGACCTCGCCGAAGGCCAGCAAGCGGTGGTCAAAAAATTAATTTCGAGTAAATTTAAATTTATCACGGGCATACCGGTTTAGGGTTTTCCGTGATATTAAACTTATTATAATCGGTATCTCGACGAAGAAAATTAAAACAATAATAAAAAGAAGAGAAAAAGAAATCCCTCAAATTGGCAGATGAAAAAGGGCATTTTAACTTTCGGTTAAATGACTCACGGGACGGCCATGCGTAAAGAAAAAACAATTGCGCAACCAAGAAATTTCTCTGCAAAAATATGATGGCGAGATTTGACTTGTCATTCCTGGGAACAGTGCTTGCTGTTCCCGTAATCCCATCATCTAATCCTTGGGCATGACCCCAGTGTTTTGCATGATGATGTCTCCGGTCTGATTGTCCTCGTAATTATCACGGAGAATGCCGATACCATATAGTGGTGGAGGGGGGGGGGGGGGCCTGGGAGAAGACGACGAGATCTTCGACAATTTCCCAAAAGATCGCTCGTAAATCTCAATCGAAAGTTGGCGATTAATTATTATCTTCACTGATCAATCGAATTTGATTAAAAGGAATTGATCCTCGTCCTCCCTCTATACTCTCCTTGCAAACCGTGCCGATGATCCCCACCCCGTCCCCTCCCCTCTCCCTGCCTGCCGAACACCTGTCCCAAAAGTAACAGAGGGAGTCCAATCAAATCTTGAAGAATCCCCACGGGCGTGCATGGTTAAAGCGGAAATCGCAAATGGAGATGTAGCAAGGCACACTCGCAATTTCGTGCCTGTCCTTTTCCCGAATTTAAGCACGGAGAAAATCGAACATTTTAAGGTTAATATTAGCGATAACGAGCCAAATGGGTCGTTAAACTTTAGTCCAATATATAATGTGATCACTGAATTTTTAATTTGTTCAATGTAGTCCATGAATTTTAGCCTAATATTTAATACAGTTCTTGAACTTTTAATTTGTTCGGTATGGTCCCTAAACTTTTGGTACATATACAATTTAGTCCCTCAAGTATATGAAAACGTTCAATGTGAACATTCTCTGAAGCATATGAAAATGATCACTGAAAATGTTCAATGTGAACATTACATGAATGTATTGAACATTTTCATATATTTCAGGGATTAAATTGAATATGTACAAAAAATTCAATAAAGATATCGAACAAATTAAAAGTCCAGGGACCGCATTGCACATCGACATCAAATTGAACAAATTAAAATTTTAGAGATCGCATTTCACGTGGGACAAAAATTTCAGGACTATTCGCAGCGTTTTCCCTTAATATTACGATCCGTCTCACCGCGTGGTGTTACTCCTTTTTACTGTGCAATAATTCGTTCGATTTATTACGTGCTGTGGCAGGAGGAGTGATGCAGCAATCTCTCCATGTGAAAACGAAAGCAGAAAGGCCAGAAACAAAAATGCGTTTGCTGCAGAAAGAGAGAGAGAGAGAGTGAGAGAGAGAGAATTTCTGCAAGTCACCATTTTTATCGTGCGCTGCGCTGCGCTACTCTCTCTCTCTCTCTGCGCACCTGACACACAATGAAGTCATGCACATATGCAACCTCCAGTTGTGAAGTGAAGGCACTGCCCCCCCTGACCTGAGCCCTCCTCACCCTCTCTCTCTCTCTCTCTCCTCAGATTTCAGCTGCCCCCATGCTCTCGAAACAGCGCGCACAGTCACCCTCTCTCTCTCTGTCTCTCTCTAGAGCCTCGCACCCTTTCTTCACTTTGTACACTGCGCTGTGCTGCTACAGCTTACCACCTTCCCAGTGATCACTGTTCCGCTTCCCTCTACAGAGGACGAAACCCATCACGCCTTTGACGAATCTTGGCTCGGACAAACTCTCTTTTTTTTCCCTCTCCAGCCAGCCCGAGGCCTCACACATGCACTCAAGCTCGCGCCTTTCTCAATGACTGCTCCTGGGCCTCCTCAGAGCCGCCTCCTCCTCCTCCCCTGCCTCTTCTTCTTCTTCCTCGTCTGGGTGGCGGTGAACGCGGCTGCGGATGCGAATGGGGTGCATGGTGTCTCAGCTGGCGGCCAAGTTCGCCTTCTTCCCGCCGTCGCCGCCCACCTACCGGATCGGGAAGCGCGACGACGGCAGGCTCACCGCCGTCTCGTCGTCGTCGTCGGCGGCGGCGGCCCCCATCGCTAGCGCCGACGACGAATCGCTCGACGTGCTGCTGGTGGACACCGCGCGTGGGAACAAGATCGTCGCCTTCTATCTGAGGAACCCGTACGCGAGGCTGACGGTGCTCTACTCGCATGGCAATGCGACTGATTTGGGGCAGCTCTATGATCTCTTCGTGCAGCTCAAGGTCAATCTCAGGGTCAACATCATGGGGTTCGTGATTTTTTGACCTTTCTTTTTTCACTGCTTTTACTTTTGCGGGAGAAATTAATTTTGCCGTTTGTGTAGATTCAGGGATTGTTGTGGTATCTGTGTTCTTTTTGCTCGTGGTTTCTCAAAGTCTGGTCCTTTTCTTGCAGTTTCAGATCTGTGAGTTATGGGTGTTGGTTCTCCTTTTTCCAGTTTCATGTGGGTTTGAGTAAATTTTAGGTTCAAGAAAGTAATTTTCAACAGGGACTTTTGAATGGGAAAGGAGAGAGAGAGAGAGAGAGAGTAAAGTAGCCTTTTGGAGCTGCTCGCGAGTTCTTTCTCACTAGTCTTTTTCATGTTCTTCCTTTAATTTTTTTTAAGATTTCACCAAGAAAAGTTTCCCTTTTCTTTGTTTTTTTAATTTTAGCGTCTCCATTGCTGCAAAGCTTTTTTCTCTTTGTTCTCTGTTCTTCTCTCTTCTTTGGGCACATGACATGGTTTACTGCTTTCACTCGAGTCTTGACCTCTGTCAATAGTTATGGGATCTCTCATATTGTCTCTTCCATACCCAATAAGTTAATCTGTTCCGGGAAAAAGCTAATAGAAGAGGTCTCATGAGGTAGCTGCCTAAAAGAAGACTGATGAATGTTGAGTTCGATGTGTGAAATGCTGACTTTTCGATCCCATATTAGGCATGTCGATGAACTTTTCTTTATTTAGTGCTTCCAGGTCAGCTTGGTTTGTAGAAAGTAATCTTTTTGTTTATTCATCCGAGTTCTTTTGTTGGAAGACTTGAATTATTTCCGAGTTTGGATTCTGAGTGGTGATCAATTGTCTCATAATGATTTCTTTCACGCAGATACGATTATTCTGGTTATGGAGCGTCTTCTGGTAAGGTATGCGATCGCCTACTCGCTGACCATTTGCAGTTAATGTCTGATTGTTTAGCTGTAGCTCTTATCCAAGTGCCATAGCTAAATTATGAGTGCTCTGTCGCTGTTTGTGCTGCTTTCCTGTTGGAGGTTATACGGATAAGACAGAGTGCTAAGGATTTTTATTGCACAGTTCACAACATAAGTGGCGATTGCACTTCCTTGTTGTATTTGCCCACTGAGTTTCCGCCGCTGCAAAAGATCAATTGTATGACAGGCGTCAGAGTCGGTCACACTGAGATTTAGTATATCGTTCCACTTTGTGAGTAATAAGCACAATCAATTGTCATGTACATATCTAATTCTGAGATTAAATGAAGGTAAGGCAGATTAGTATCTGCAAGAGGAAATGAGTTACGAGAAAGTTAAACTCCATGACTCTGTCACTGCTTTTAATTGGTGCAAGTTCCTAACAAGCATATGATGACATGATTAGTTCCCCAAAAATTTGGGCATACCTAAAGAACTTGAGATCAACTGCTTAATAAAGCATATCTATATGTTTGTGATTTTGGTTGGATTTGGTAGATAGTTACTTATGTTGTTACTCATCATGAATTTCAGCCCAGTGAATCCAATACATATGCAGATATAGAGGCAGTTTATAATTGTCTCGAGACCCAATATGGGGTCAGCCAGGAAAATGTGATTCTGTACGGCCAGTCTGTTGGAAGTGGACCAACACTGCACTTAGCAGCAAAGTTGCCGAGGTTAAGAGGGGTTGTCTTGCACAGTGCCATCCTCTCTGGCCTTCGTGTGCTCTGCCATGTGAAGTTCTCTTTCTGCTTCGACATATACAAGGTTAACTGTCCCGGCACAATTCTGCTGTTAGTTGACATAACACATTCATAAGAGTGTTGTTATGACCATCTCTTTATTGGCATTGACTCTGTCGAACTAGCGATTAACTGTTGGGTATCCATGCAGAACATCAACAAAATTCGGAAGGTGAAGTGCCCGGTGTTAGTAATACATGTAAGTTCTTCGCATCTTCAAACAGCAGAAAGCTAAATCCTTTTACATAAGCAGTTACCATGTGAGAATCAAAATCTTCTCTGTTTTCGCTCTTGTCATTTTATGAAGCTTCAAGCAATTGCTGTGCCTTTTCTTTTGTGCGTCTTGAAATAAAAACATGAGTTGTATTCAAGGGTTGTCCCCAGTGAGCTAGTTCACCTTCTTCCTGGCACATGAGTGGTTGGATATAAGGTTCCTTTCTCTTGCTTGGTTAACTTGGTCTTCTGAGCTTATTGAGTGATGCGTATTACTTGGTTAACTTGTTTTATCCCGTATTCCCTTTTCACTCTGATTACCGTAGTCTATTACACGAGTGGGAATGTTGGCTACATATTTGGGATAAATGCAAGTGAGAGACTCTGCTCTTCACAAAGTTGAAAGCAATAAGAAGAGGACTGCCCTGCAGTTACCATATCTACTTTTTGCCTAGTTGATTCAGTGGGCTTAACAATTAACTCGACAGTTCCCTTGCTTTCCTGTTAATTGTTGATTCAGTCGAATTTACTCTAGCAGTTAATTGTGAAAGTTTGTCGAATTTAAATCTGAATCAACTAGGCAAAACAGTTACCATATCTGCTCTTCAACTTATTCGATGTCAAGAGCCTATAAGTTATTTAAATCTGTACCTTGTTGGTTTTGAAATTTAAGAGAGCAGATATGCATAAAAAGTACGGTTTGTAATTTGATAATCTAGAAATTTGCAACGGTGTTGAAAGTGTACTCTGCAATATGGGCAGGGCACAGAGGATGACGTTGTGAATTGGTTACATGGCCACGGACTGTGGAAAATGTCGAGGGAACCATTCGACCCTCTGTGGATCAAAGGAGGCGGACACTGCAACTTGGAGCTTTATCCAGATTACATCCGCCATTTGTGTAGGTTTGTCCACGAAATGGAGAGCATTACCACAGAAATCCGCCTAAAAAAGATTCGACAGACTCTCCACCTACCGAGGCGGTCTTCTACAGCCACTACAACCAAGTGCTGCAGAATTAAATGCCAGCGTCCCAAGTGCGCAGAATGCTCACTGCCTAGCTGCACAAAATGTTCGTGCCAGCCCAAGTGCACAAGATGTTGGAGACCCAGCTGCTTCAAATGCTTTTGTAGACCGAAATGCATGAGATGTCCGAGGCCGAGCTGTCCGAGACCGAGCTGTCCGAGACCGAGCTGCGTCAAGTGTTTGAGCTGGGCGTGCTGCTGCTGCGATGGAAGAGGCGGCGAGTTGAACAGTAACAGGAAGTAGGGAGGTATAGTGATTCTGTGCTTGTATAGACTTTCTCAACCTGGCTAACAACTGTCTGATCCTGGAGTAGTTACTCTTTTAGAAAGGGGGCAAAGAACTTTTCCATGCTTTATTGGATACTGTCCTATCAAGCCAAGCGATTCATGAATTCATGCGACAAATTGTTCTAATCTTTACTCCCGCTCCTGTTCTAATATCATGGTTTTCAGCTAACCGCGACCTGTTGGGGATCGAACGCTACTGGAAAGACTATGCGGGGCGAGAAAAATTCTCAGATGAACTTAATTCACGGTCATCGTACGTCGCCAAATGCGCTCGAAATACCTCTTATTCTTCTGTTTTCGCCGAATTGCCGCGCTATGACCGCGTGAGTCATAACCAACGAACATTTTACACATCGAGTGCGAAATGCAACCTAAAGCATTCCCCAAAAGATATTTACTTAGGTGGGATAAGCTCAATATCATATATACCAACATCAAAGAACCAACCCATCTTTCCTTTTGAGCGAGCCGTTTGGCTGATGATGAACGGGTCAAGTTTGAACATCGAACTGTAAAATCTCGAAAGGGCTGATATCCAAAGCGACCCCTAGCGAAAACCATGAGCTCCTTCCTCATCTGCAGATCGCAAGCCCACTTGCTTTCTCTGTGCTGGGCCTTTTGCGTAATCTGTGTATCACTTTTGAAGACCCTATCAGTTGGAGATTGATTCTTTCCCGTCTTGTAAAAGGAAATTTTTTTTGAGATTAATCCAGTCGGGTATTTAACAAAATTAAGCGCATTCGATAATCATAAATCGATGGAAAATTCAAGAGCAACTTATGAATTGGAAATCTAACGGAATAACCCGTCTAGAATCCAGCTCGAGGGGAGAGGGAGCATTTTCATGTGGCGGATGCACGATTGATGTGATTTTAGTCGATCGTTTTAAAGCGCTCACGGGGTATGCATTCCAGCCGCTTCTCGCATCTGAACGTCGTGATATCTCAGTTCCAATTGGCCCGTTCCTTCACACGCCACCGCCGCATGGGGATAACTGCCGTATAGAAAAACTCCCCGTGCATCGGGTCGCAAACTTTCTTCGATCCCACCGGGGACCAGATTCGCGCGGAATCGATCATGGTCAGATCACAAAATAAAACAGATCCAAGCCCCTCACAAAAACGGGTTATTGCAATACTTTGTAACGGAAATCACGACGGAACATATCTGATGACACCATGCTCTATGCACTGTAGAGGAATATCCGAAGGGCAAAGAAGTCGAGAAAACTGTGATTGTATAGGCAATACTTCCCTCGTTTTCTCATTCAGCATCAGCAATCACGCCGTCTCCAACTCTCAACGCCATGCCACCAAGAACCGCTCGAAGAGAAAAAATTTCAAACGTTGGAAAAGGAGCTCCTGGCGGGGTGGGACCCACGCGCTTCTGAGCTGGGGCCCCCCACCCAACCGAACCCCACACGGGCACCTTTCGCACGTGCGAACGTCGGTTTTTCTCGTTTTTTTTTTTTTTCCTCTTTTCGGTCGTAACGTGCGAACGTTGGTTCGCATTCACACGATCCGATCCGCACCCGCCCCCAAACCTTCTGGTTCCCATCACGAACGCGGCTTCGAGGATCCCCAACAACACCGACGGATAGAAATACGATCCCCAACAACACCGACGGATAGAAATACGAACTGTTGCGCCGGTGGATAAGTCTCGTTTCACCTTGTGAAGCCGTAGGAGCCGAAGAAGCCCTAACAGGGAGAGCCTCTACGGCCTGTCCGTTTGTTGAACAGTAATTACAAGCTTCACAAATGAATTCCTTATTTTAACGTACCGATGTCCACACGCCCTGTGCCTCCGAATTTTCCTTGTATCTTTATCTTCTCCGGAAAGAGGGAATATCTTCTAATTATTTTACATCCCGATGATCCCGAGGTCCGAACGAGAATCGAGATGAAATATTTTAAGGACTTGCTTAGATCCAACTTTATTAATCTGTTGATAAGTCTTGTTTCACCTTAACCTTAAATTAGCAAGACGCCTTTTGAAACAGTACAGGCATGGATGAGCTATGACCAGAGCGAACAATATCGTGCCGGCTCCTAGCCTGATGGGGTTAACTGCCTTCCGAGATATGGGAGCTGATATGAGAATTCGAGGTCATAAGCATGTCTTGATCCCATATAACGATTTAGATACGAGCCATTACACCGGTAACTAATCTTGGGCAATTTTAAACTATACGTTTTCCAGTCATATACCGGTACGAGCAAACTATAATCAGAGTCCGATACGTAGTTGTGCGCCGTGGAAATGCGACGGATAAAGCCGATATTTTCAATTAAATGCGCAAATTATATTGACTTGGCCAACAGAAACATAGTTTTTTCTTGGGCTGGAGGGTTGAAATTTTCATCCAAGAAGCTCCGGAGATGCGCATGTTCCAAGTTGGCGAAGAGAAGGTCAAACGAACGCAAGCTTACAACGGACAGCTTTATGCTGAATATTATATTTTCAAATGCCTCCACAAATTATTATTATTAAATTATTATTATTATTATTATTATCAAATGCTTGTCTTTACCTTCATTTCTCTCTTTCTCTCTCTTCGAAATTTTTTCCCTTTTAGCCCGTATCTGGTTTGTTGTCTATTTAATATAAATAACGAGCGTCTCTTTTCTCGGATGTCTATAAATGATACAAAATAGATGGAATTGCCAGAATTTATATCCGGATAAACTTTTCCTTTTTTGCTTAATCTGAATACTGCGGCGCACGTCATTTTTCACGGGATACAAATCTCAAATATGAATCTTTACAGTTATGTAAATTTTGAATAGTATTTTAAATTCCGACGGAATTTTTTTTATAAAAAAAAAAGTACATTTAGCTTTTGTTTTACCAGCGATTTGGCAAACCAACGGGCCAAATTTCCACCCTTTCTAGGGGCATGAGGTAGACATCATTGCGGCTTGGGAGATTAATTAGCACGTTGACTTTTCGAGAAAGCACGAAGTAGATATGTAATGATCCTTTCTTTCTCGTTAACCCATGATTAGCAGCCGTTTGGTCAGGGACCCAGTCATGGCTTTAGGAAAGGAATACGAGGCTAATAATGAACGCCGAGGCAAAGTAAATTGCACGTAATTGATTAAAGTTTGGCTTAAAGATGGCCCGTGGTCAAATTCGGTGCGCAAAAGCGACCAATCTCTCTTTTACTTTGGTCCTGATGTGCCTGCCGAAAGAGAGGATTGCTGTTCATGTAAAACGAAGAACTTTGGGTACCAACTTTTGTGACAACTTGTGTGCCCAGAGCATCTAGATATGCGAAGCATTAAGTCCTTAATACGTAGTACAAGAAAGTGATAGCGACGCATAGAATTTCTCGTACTTTTCCTATTGCGGGGCGATACTTGCTTTATACAACATTTGGGAGAGATATTACGAAAGAATTAAATGGTTCGCGGTCATTATAACTATCGAACATGAGTTCGCGTGAAAACGGGTACCGGAAGTCGTGATAGTAATGTATAGTCATAGTGAATATTCGAACTTAACGATGGATATTTAACTTTCCTCTCTAAGCTATAATTCTCAAATGAGTAACTTGATGCAATCTTTTTGGTTCTCCCACGGAAGAAAATAATGTCACAGATGGCTGATTGTAACTCAATTTCAGCAGCTTTAATTAACTCTTCACTTATTTTTATATAAAAATTACGGTAACTGAAGACCTAAACATAGATAATTTGATAGCTTGTTTGTAAATTAATGCAATTTTGATTGGTAACTCATCCAACTCATCGAAGCTCCAAAAAGCAGGCCAAGGGAGGGCTCTTTCCACGTTGGAACTGTGCTCCAATTTGGCCGAGTTAGGCACACTTTGTCACCTTGTCAAAACACGCATTCAAAATCAAAATGCCAAGTGGGTTCTTGGTAAGATACCTTCGTACAAGTTTTGCCGTACTCTCTTTATAGTCTCAATTGTCTCCGCACCATGGGAAAGGCTCCATTCCAAGGGAAATCAAATTGGTTTTTTGTGCTTGTTGTTAAACCATAATTAACATATAATCAAAACACACGCCGACTTGTTCTGTAATGACCGATGGCTTTTAGCTCTCTTGAAATCTCATGATGCTCGATGCTCGATTCTTTGCAAATTAATTTACCCCGGACGATTCTACTTTTTCGTTTCCCGAAAGGAGGATTTCTAAGTCATTCAAATGATAGTTGGTAATTCAAAAGTAGATAATAATTTAATAAGAATGGTGAACCATGTTTATTAGAGTTCGTAATCTCAAAGTCAATAAATGCAAGGGGCGACTAACCAAGGCAAATAAAAATCGATAACTTATTATAAAAAAAAGTTGGTAAATAAACAGAATAAATAAGCGCTGCTAAGTTGTTCGAAGGAGAGTTAGTCACTCAAAAGTAATTGGTATTTTAATCCGGCAAAAGTTGGTCAATCATTCTAATATGGGTTGGTAACTTCGTATATAAGTTAATAAATTAAAAGTGTCGGTAAGTTATGCGAATGAAAGCGGCTAAGTTAGTGCAAAAATCTAATTTGCAAACTATAAAAAGTAGGTAATTTAAAAAAAATGTTACGTAAGTTATCAACAAATTAAGTTATTTTTAACAAAAAAGTCACTAGTCATTATTTACTCTTTTACACTTAACAACCCTTGTTGAAATTTACCAACATAAAAAGAAAATCCATAATTTCGAGGCACAAAACATCATAATTCAGCTCCCGTCTTAGCCTCTTCTTCATGAACAATAAGCGTGATTGGATATATCCACCACGCCTTCACATGCCTTCGATTTTCGATTATTTTAACGCAATTCTCCAATAAAAAAACCATTATTACACGTATTAATCGGCAAACTTACTATAATCCAATTTAAG